TTAATTCCTGATGGAGTGCTTTCGGATATCATTGCTTTTTTACGATCGTATTTTTGGATTGATGACACCTCATCACGGGGATGACCTCTAATTGCATGGCAAACGCTATGTCAACCGAAGTTATTGGGAGGACTTGGCTTTCATGATTTTTGCTCATTTAATGTTGCAATGTTGGGCAAACAACTGTGGCGAATAATTCAACACTCCATAGTTTGGCGTCTCGTATGCTTGCTGCGAAGTATTTTCCGATGAGCCATATACTTCAAGCTTCCCTTTGCGATCACCCGTCTTTTGCATGGTGAAGTTTATCTGTGGCCATCTAACATCTGAGCACAGGTTTTCATTGGAGGATCGGTATTGATAGTACAACTTTGCTGCATCGAGCTTAATGGGGGACTCACCCTGTTCATTTCTAATCAACATACGTTGATTGTACCTCTCATCCCATTCTTTGTGGTGATTTTATGATCCATGCCGCTCCACGCTGGAATACCAATTTAGTTGAACGGGTTTTCACTGCCGAAGATGCTCAAACCATTCTTCAATGTCATATCTCCCCTGTCCATCATGATGAGCTTCTTTGGAGTGGACAGTCTTCGGGTAATTATTCAGTACCTCCATGTTACAAATGGCTAGTTAGGCAGACCACGCCTGAGGTTCAACAATCGCGACTCTGGCTCTATCTTTCGAGTTTACCTAAGCTGCTACAGGTCCGCATGTTTGGGTGGAGGACTGCTCATGAGGCCCTTCCTGTGGGCTATCGACTTGCTCAAGTTGGTGCTACGGGTTGTTTGTGTGGTTCGACCAAGGAGATTGTCGCTCATGCTCTGCGTGATTGTCCATTTGTCTCTCCCATATTCTTTGAAGCTGGATTTAGGGACATTCGGATTCCTGGTGGGATTTCTTCTTTTGGAGCATGGTTGGAGCATACGATGAAGTTGTTACATGTTCATCTTTTTATTACTCTTCTAGTCCTGCTTTAGAAGATTTGGCATCGTCAGAATCTGCTCTTTCATGAAGATCGTTTGCTCCCCGGATGGTAACTATTAGTTTCGGCTGATGCTCTTCAATCAGCATACAACACTACTGAATAGCTTCTGCATCGACAATTGCTTCCATTGCTGCTGGTCTCCTTCCTCAACGTTGGATGAAACCACTGGGAGGTACGTTCAGGATTAATGTTAATGGCGCTTACCCGCGACCACCTGCTACTTCAGCCATTGGTGTCATTCTTCGTGACCACCTGCTACTTCAGCCATTGGTGTCATTCTTCGTGATAGTGCAGGTGGGGTAGTTGCTGGTCGAGCCATCCCGGTTCCGCATTCTCGTCACTGTGGCATCGTCGAAGCTTTGGTCATCTCTCATGGTGTTCGTATGGCAGTGGAAATGGGTTTATCAGCGGTCACGGTTGAAAGTGAATGAATTCAGTCCAGCAACTTGAAAATCTGTTATCGAATTTAGGTTTTATCTTCTTGAAGCCAGACAACTCCTTGATGATCATCCTCACATCATTATCCGATTCATTCGACGGGAGACTAATGGAACAGCTCATGCTCTAGCCAATTATGCTTCTATTTCTGCTGTACATTTACGTTTTTAATCTGTAATACCAGACTGCATTACTTCGGTGGTTTCTTCGGATGCTAATTTTAGTTAACGAATGCCGTTATTTTCAAAAAAAAAAAAAAGATGATTTAACTGTTAAAAAATTAATATAATTACAAATTTAATCTTTAATCTTTATATATTATATTAATTTAATCTTAATTTTGATTCGATTAAATAAATGTAACCTTTAATTGAAATCCTAATTTTACTAAATATTATTTTAAAAATAACTGTATAAAGTTATTGCTTGTAATAAAATAAGCATTAATATAGGGGACATGTAATTAAGATCATGGGACCAATGTAAGAATTATGTAAGAATTTGGCTGCATTGTATCAAAAAGGTTAAGGTGGATATTATTTCAACTTTGTTCTGAAAAAAATGAGACAAAGGAATACGTATACATAAAGCTTAAATATTTATTAAAATCCTAAACATTTAAATTATCTTGAACAAGCTCTTAAAACTGATGTCTATTAAAGATGTATTTAAGTATATACAAATCTAAATGAAAATATTATTTTATTATTAAATAATAATTAATCTCCGATCGGATTGCAGAGTACCTTGTCAAAAACCCCGACAAAGAAAGTCAAAAGAAGAAAGGAAATCCTCCATAGTAAAGCAAGTTTCATAAATGAGCAATCTTGTAACTATTATCAGCAACTCAGACAGTCATAAATAACGATACCGAGAAAAAAAAAAAGATAACATCATTAAGAAATACCAACAACAATAAACCCTCTCATTAACTCAAATTTGGTTACATTAACCAAATAGAAGTACAAGATGAGCAAACACTCGGTTATCAGATGTTACCATATATGGTCACTCATTAAATGCTTAAATCTAAGAACAATGAACTCTACAATTATGGAAAGAAAAAACTTTTGTAAGAAAGAAGAAGAAAAACTCGGTAGGACTCGGTGAGGTGATGAAAAGAAACGAAGTTGGATGGGGTTAACCCCATGGTGTAGGACAGCAAATATGCTAACTACATTGTCTAGACAAGCCAGCAGTCTCGACAGAAGGGGTTGAGAAAAACTAAGGCAATATATATTGCATAGGGCAACCAAAATAGAAAGATTTCCAAATCCCAAGCAACGTTGTATGTCTAGATTTATCCGTAAAAACAAGAGTACAACAGTGAACACAGAATGGAATGCAATACAATCCAGTTACATCAATGAATGGTTGATGCCCTGGCAAAGGAAGCATACCATGAGCTACCGTGGAGGGTAAGATGGATGGTATTGGGGCGGTATACCATATGCACCATAAATAGGCCGCCTGTCATAATTATATAAATGGGATGCAGCAGGGTTTGGATTCAAAGGGAAACCCATACGGGCTCCTGCCATGCCATACATCCGAGCTGATGGGCCTGCATAAGGATTAGCAACAGGAGTAGAACATGGCATGCCAAAAGGAGGGGCTGGTGAACGTAAATATGCAGCAGAATGATCTGCCAATAAACCAGCTGGCCGAAGATGGGCTTGTTGGAATGGAGGAATCGCAGAAGCCGAACCAGCAGCACTCAATGAGGGTATTACGCGAACAACAGATGCAGTTGTTTTAGGACGCTTGTTGCCACCCTGCTGCTGCTTTGACAGTGCCTGCTTCTTCTTATTCTTCCTTGCCCGTCAAGCTGCTGCTGCCACCTGAATGGCCTTCCGAAAAGCCTGCTGCTGCTGAAGCTTCAAAGCAGCAGGGGTTGCAGGGGATTTTCTGTCTGCCTGCTGCTTCTCAAGCTGCTCAATACGTTTCAGAAGGGGCTCTTGCGAATATTCGGTTTCTAGATTGCACTCTTCAATTATTGTAATGACAGATTTCAATGCACCAATTTCTCCGTCGGCGGCGATATTCTGCACGAGAAACTGAAATTAGTAAAAGGAAAAAAAATTGAATACTGAAGTTTCGTACTTGGAAAAGTTAGCAGGAAATGAAAGTTCCCTGCGACTTAAGAGAGTTCTTTCCTTTCGCACTTACTTGCATAGCATGCCTCTTTGTCTCCTCCAGATACGCATCCTAAAGATGTTCTGGTTAGAATTTTTCTACTAGCCCCAGCTCAAATATAAATTTCACAGCAAGCAATTGTTTCCCATCATCTACCAGTTTTTGAATCAAATCTGCAACGCATAAGGCAAGGCTGTTTTCATCAGATCTACCGGTAAGAGGAGGAGAGAATTCGAAATCTCAAAGGGGGTAAAAATTATGTAAATCCTATGGAAATATATTATCAATGACCATTACGACTTGAGCTGATTATTTAAACGAGATAACAATATGCTACACCAATTACACATGCACATATTGATTCGATTGAACAAAAAGGTCTACCCATATTTTCCATTTTTCTTATCTTAATCCATGAACTTATTTTGGTCTTTTGGGAAATCATTGTGTTTATATATGTTTCATCTTCTTGCCGAGTGAACTGTAAACCATTCTAAGAATAAAACTTTTAATCAACGTGAGTCTCCTGTCTAAACTTGACCAAACTTAGATACTTCCTTTCCAATATGGCAAAAAAATAAAGAACCTCCATTGCCTAAGTAGGCAATCACATCAAAATTCAAGGCACCCAAGACCAGAATAAAAAAAGATCATGCAACAGATAGGATTTAAAAATTGTATTTCCAATGCTGATGCAGAAATTATACAACTGAACCCCATGTAATCAATAAACCAATAAAAGATCATTTTATCAATGTATCTAGTGAGAGAACTTTAAAAACATATAAATGGTGGGAAAATAAGCATAAACACCAACAAGAAATTAAATAAGCCGATGTGAATGTAGAAATAACCAAATTCAACCAAGACATCGCTAACCAACCATGAATCATATACCTTAAAGAGCAAGACATAATGACATATCAATCCCTATATTAAAACTTCAATTCTTGAAAGCTCCTTCAGACACCAAATAATCTAAATCAACCATACATGACAAGAAAAACAGTTACAGAGTAAGTTAACAAAATTTATATACCCATAAAACATATGAGAGCAAGAAAAATATTGAATCCCAAAATCAAACAAATCCAAACTCCCATGATAAGAATTGCATTCAAATAAAAAAAATCAAAACATTACTATGAATTTTCTCCCCTAAACCAATTGACCTACACAATACAGTAGCTAGACACCTAACCAACCACCAATCATATACCTTAAACAGCTAGACATGATGACATATCAATACCTATATTAAAACTTCAATTCTTAAAAGCTCCTTCAGACAACAAATAATTTAAATCAACCATACATGACTAGACAAACTGCTACCGAGTAAGTTAACAAAATTTGCACCCATAAACATAGGAAAGCAAGCAAAATACTCAATCCCAAAATCAAATAAACCGAATTCACATGATAAGAATTGCATTCAAATTAAGAAAGCAATAACCTTACCATGAATTTTCTCCGCTAGACCAATTGACCTACACAATACAGCAGCTTGCTGGAATTTAGCAATGGTAAAGAAGTAATCAACAAGCTCCTCCTTATCAGCCATAGGTCCCAAACTATAAGTTGCCACTAAATGCAAAAAAACAAATATCTCCAAAGAGTTATCTTTGAGCAACTTGACCTTGCCGTTCCAGTCTAAAGCTAACTTCTTTGCTCTCTCCCTCACTTCTTCATCGATACTTGTACAAGTTTCCATTAACTGCTCCAATAAAAACACACAAACTCTCCTTAATTCGAGGATTCCTGGTTCTGTATCATCTTTAGACTGCGAATTCCCAGAGTAAAACCCCTCAATTGCATCCAAAACCATTGCCCCAGGATCCGCAGCACTCCTCAATGAACCGGGAAGCTCCATTCGGATAGTTCCCCGTTCTTTTACGCTGTCGTATATGTACTTCCTCAACCCCTTCCCATCCATTCTCTCACAAAACTCCTTCAGTTCTAGTCGAGTCACCACTGAGCCAGCGAGGCCTGACGGCGGAACCGACCCATCAGACTGCACGCCCACGGAATTTGACGACGATGGCTTCTCAACATTTGACGGTACAAGCTGATTTAATGGTTGATTCGCGGCCATATGAGTGAACGATTCTACTCGGTTTTGTTCCGTTAACGTGTTGGGAGCCGGTGGTCTCTCTGTTTAGGGGACGATTGAGTTGAGCACTAAGTGAACTTCGAAACGGGGAGCCATCAATTGGGTTGCGAAAGGATTCGCGGGACTCGAGGATGCGGAACTGTTGAGTCACCGAGTTCTGAATTTTGGTGAAGTGAGCATGGAGGTCGGACCAAGAGAAAGAAGAGAGGTGCAGAGATTTGGCTTGGAGGTCATCGAACGCCTTCTTGAGTTCCTCTTTTTTGACGTCGATGAGTTCGATCGCCGATCCAATTGCTCTCAGCGACGGCTTCACCGATATGTTTTCCGAAGACTTTGCTTTAGAAGATCAATTGTGTCAAACAGCACAAAAAAAAGATAAAATAAAACCCCAAAGTTAAGAAATAAAAACAATTCAGTTAAAATAATATCTGATTCTTTATGGGTTGGGTAACATGAAGTTGAGAAATAGGTTTTATTTTGGGCTGGACTTTTCTTGAATTGTTACTGATCTCTATGTTTATTTCTTTAAATTATATAAGGTATATTAGAACTAAAATTAAGGATTTTGATAAAGTTTATACACTTAAATATTTTTTTGAATTAATAATTGGTATCCGATCTATTGACCAATTAATCCAGATCGGGTACTGCAGAGGCGAGGGCGACCTCCCAACCCAATTTGCTCCAAAGATTTGAACTCCTGTCCTTGCTTAAGAGACTTAATGTCTCATCCCATTAGACCAATTGATTGTTGGTTGAGACACTTAAATATTAACAAGGATAGATTAAGAAGTTTAGATTCCATCCTACTTACTACTGTTATAAAATTAATTTTAAACATGTCATTTAATAGCGACATGCAGATAGTAACCAAGACAATGTACCTCTATCTTATATATGAAAAATAAGGAGGAAGGATGGAAGATGATCTAAAAAATGCAAAGAAAGGGAGGCTTGATCTGTTTTTGCATTAATCGAAGCCTGCATGAGAGGTAAGTTACGAGAATCCAATTCCTTTTATAGCTTCATTAGATCTATTGATTCATAAAACCATCTTGAGATTCGATGGAATGAGTTGTCACACAATCCATGCTTGCATAAGCTTAATGGCGTGGACTGTGGAGTGCAATCTACAAGCTACCTCAATCTTAGCGGTGTTATAGATGCAGATTCACTCTGCAAACTTCGAGAACTCTATTGGGTTATAATTGTAACTAGTTGTTGGGTTAGTTAACCTTTATCGTTAGGTAGTTTTTTTGTTGAAGCTTTGTTAGTTAAGGTATTATAGTTGTATATATAAACAACTTTGTATTCCTTTCTTCATTGAATGAAAACTAAAAGCTTTTCTTCATCCTTGTTTTCTTGTTCGTTATATGGTATCATTAGTTTTACTTTTCACACTTCACAATGGTTAATTCCTTGAATGATAGCTTTGATAATGGGGCCAATCCCTATCACTTGCATCAATTATCTCAGTATGATTTTGGTAACCCAGTTACTTTCCAACGACAACTTCCATAGTTGGAAAAGATCGATGGTGCTTGTCCTTTCTGCCAAGAACAAGCTTGATTTTGTTGATGGTTTGATTGAGGCTCTTGATTCGTCCATGGTAGATCAGTTCAATGTTTGGACACGAGCCAACAATTTGGTGATTTTTTGTGTTTCTAAATTCGGTTTCCAAAGATATTGCTGCAAATTTGCTTTATTATACAACTGCAATAGAAATGTCGAAAGATTTAATTGATCATTTCTAACAATCGAACGATCCACGTTTGTTTCAATTGAAGAAGCGTTTCTGTGAGATCGTACAAGATCATATGTAAATAAGTAACTACTATATTCAATTAAAGATTATTTGGGACGAGTTTTCGATTCGGTAGTTATGTAGTTGTCTCCAATGTTCTTGTGGAGGTGTACAACGTATGATTGCTGAACAACAACAAGAGCATGCAATTCAGTCTCTAATGAGGTTAATGAGTCTTATGCCCATATCAGGGGGCAAATTCTCTTGATGGACCCTCTTCCTCCCATTTCAAAAGTGTTTTCTTTGATTGTTCAATAAGAGAATCAAAGAACTCCTTGTTAGGCTAAGAGAAGCTGAGCAAGCTGCTTCAATTGCAGAGGTGACAAAGCAAAAACTTCGAAATATTTTTACTGATTAAAAAACTTCACAATTTGATCCTAACTAATCTTTTGTTTTTTAGCAGGAGAAGTTTGAAAATGTTCAACAAGAGAACGAAAAGTTAAAGAAGCAAGTGGAGAAGCTAAAAAGAAAACACAAGATGGAAATGGTCACCATGAAACAGTACCTTGCAGAGAGCAGATTGCCGGAATCTGCACGCTACCATTATACCGAGAGGATTCAGATGTAGCAACGCAGAACAGCAGTGCAACTCCATATGATGATGATCAGGCATGGAGAGCTGAATTTGGAGCAATATATCAAGAACATTACTAATTCATCCAAAGAAATCAGACCATACATTGTTCAAAAAGAAAATAATACAGATATGTGTACTATGTTTCTGAGACTATATATATATATCAGTGTCGGATATAAGTATGTATCTTACACGAATATGTCTAATTTTTCCAAGAGGATAGAACTCATCTCAAACTCAGTGACCAATATATTTTGGACATGGGTTGGAGCCTCTTCCAAATATTGATTATCATGTAATTCATTATTTTTATTCATAGATATTGTGTTAAGGTATGCTTTGATTAATATAAAATCTCAATGATTGTAGAGTTTAATAAATATAAATAGTACAGGAAGTTTAAGAAAATAAACAGATAAAAAGAAAAAAGAAAATAAATAAGGAAGTTTCATAAAACGCTGTCGTTTGCAGATAAGGGAAACAAAATATCGGGCTTCTTCCAAAAGAAAGAAGATACGTTGAGAGGGAGAAATAACTGATATAGTTTTTAGGACAAAAATGGCTGCTTCGGATTCTCCAGCTTCTTCCGCTGAATCTGATATTGAAACAAACCCTAATCCCAATCCTTCAAAAGCTATAATCCCAACTCCTTCCAATTCCAAATCCCCTGCCGTATGCCTCTTCCAATTCGCGGGAGACTCCGCCGCCGGTGCCTTCATGGGCTCCATCTTTGGCTACGGTATTATTTTTTCACTTTTAGATTGAAAATATCTTATGTTTTTATTTTCTTCTTTCTATTGGTTTTCTTGACGTTCTTGGACAGTTCGGTAAATCACGAAGGTACGAATTTTTTTTTTGAAAAGAAATCATTGAATTTCTGGGTGAGTTTAGTTTTGATCTCGAACCAGATCAAAAACCTTTTTTTTTTCTTTTTTTTAGATTTGGTCATATGAACTTTTTACCAATATTATAGGAGTTGAAACTCATATGGAATATTAATGGCGGTTGAGTGGAGAAGATAGTCATTATATATGAACAATGGATTATTCTGTTTTTCAGCATTTCGAATTGTGATATTGATTGCACAATTTCCTTTGGGGATTCTTTATGCTTGAACATTACCCCTTTGGGTACTCTAGGACATAAAAAGATCGAGTCTTTTACGTTCTAGGTTGTCCAAAAAATGCATGTTCAATGTCATGACTTTGGCTGGCATTTCAAGTTTAGGACTTGGCGTATAGTGACTGAGTTACCTTTTGGGCGGACATTCTACTCTTGGATGTACATATGATTTTATGTTAGGTGGCAAGCTTATAAAATTTTAGGAGGACAATAGAAAATACATAGAAATTACTTAAATTATATGAGATTTTGAAATTTTCAGGACCGTCCCTGCTAGCTCCCTCAGTCCATCCTTTGATTCCACTAGACATTAACATTTGTTGTGGGCTTGTAGCTCATTTGTCTGGTTGAAATCAAGTCAATACCTTCTTTAATTTTATCTTTTTGCATCTGTCTTAGGTTCGGGACTGATTAAAAAGAAAGGCTTTAAAGGATCCTTTGTGGAAGCAGGATCTTATGCCAAGGTATGAGAATCTCAGGATCCTTAAATAATGCTGTTAACTTTGTAGTTTTTCCCTCAACAAATCTCCAATTTCTTTATAGACATTTGCAGTTTTGTCCGGCGTACACAGTTTGGTTGTTTGCTTTCTGAAGAGGCTGCGGGGAAAAGATGATGGTATGCCTTTGTAAAAAACCAGGGTAACATTGCCTCTTTTTTTTTGTGCTTGGTTTGCATATAGTAATGTTATCTTTCCATGCAGTTATTAATGCCGGTGTAGCTGGATGTTGCACTGGACTTACTCTAAGTTTCCCAGGTACGAGAACCTCGAGGTTCATTCTTTTCCGGTAAAAGTATAGGTTTCACCGTTTCAGCTTCAACCTCATCTTTGCTTGAAATGGTTATGCAGGTGCACCCCAGGCACTTCTACAGAGCTGTCTCACCTTTGGGGCCTTCTCATTTATCATCGAAGGGCTTAACAAACAGCAACCAGCGCTGGCACATTCGTTTTCTGCGAGAAATGGGAACGCGCACCACACGGGACCTCATCCTTTAGCACTATCTCTTTCGATCCCCCTTCCAGATGAGGTGAAAGGGGCATTTTCTTCGTTCTGCAAGTCCTTGGTAAAATCCAAATGAAGGTTTCCTACAGGGCATTTTTATTTTTCCTGTCATTTGTAGAAGTGTTTAAGATTCGAAGATTTTGGTTGGCATAAATCTGAAATTGCTTCTTTCTTGTGTTGTTGCATCCCATTTATGGTCCGTCTGATTACCAAGCTTATTAATGGACCATATGTTTGTATTCCAATGCCACTTAATCTCCATCATCAAATCTAATGAACTGGCCAGAATCATCAATATAGATAACTACACGATGCTTTCAACTTACCAATATTATTTAGTTTAATGTAATGTAATTTGGTTAGAATAAACTAATTCATTAACAAAGGAATTTGATTGAAATAAACTAATAATTTAAAGAAAGAATTAAAATAATTTAAATTTTGAAAAATAATGCAAAATGAATTATATAATATGAGCACGTTTGAAGTAATTAACTCTTGTTATATTTATGGTCTATTTGCTTCTTTGTAATTGGTTTTTTGATTTTTTTTTAATTTTCTAGTGTTTGGTTGGCGGAAAATAGATGTTAATGTAATTCATTTTTTTAGTCAACTGAATTTGCTTTGCATTTTATCGAAAATAACTTGCGGTATGATTTTCTGTAAATCATTTTACGAACTTTTTGATTCGTAATATAAACACTCTAAATATTATTATTTTATATATTTAATATTAATATATTATTTTAATATTATTTTAAAAAAATATTAATTATCAAAATATATTTATTGATAATTTTAATAATACAATATTATATTTTTAATGTTATAATTATTTTATTATAATATATAATATTATAGTTTTATTTTAATAATATAAAATAAATTTTTAATAAAATTAATATTATTTATTTATTTTATAAAAATAATATTATTGAATATTTAAAATATATTTCTAAAAATATAATATAATATTATTATTTCTTAAAATTAGTGTTATACTTTAGCCCACAAACCTTACCAGAACATCGTACACAAATGGTTAATATCTTGGTATAGAGGTTGTCGACTCCTTAGGCCATTACTTGGGACTTCCGTTATATATTGGGAAAAAATACATTTGAATATCCGCATGATAAGGTTCATAAACACGTTAGTGGATAGACAAGTGGTTGTTATCCTATGACGATATGGAAGTATTTCTAAAATCCATGGCTCTCTCAGTACACGCGATGTCTTGTTATATGATTCCTAAACACTTGCTTAATGAAATCTTTGGCATAATGCAAGGATTTTGGTGGACAAGTAAGATCTCAGAGCGTGGATGGTCGTTAATGGCGTGGTCAACAATTTGTACCTCGAAGAGTCAAGGGGGCTTGGGTTAAGGGATCTTCGCTTTTTTAACTTGGCTATGCTCGATAAACAAATACGGAGATTAGTTCATCATCCTAATTGTTTGTTGGAGCAAGTCTGGAAAGCAAAGTACTATCCAAATTGCAACATACTACGTGCCCCTAAGGGCGATAGGAGTTTTTATGCTTGGAAGGGTATCCACAAAACCATTCAAGCTTTATCGGGTGCATTGTTCTGGAGAGTAGGACAAAGTAGCTATATTCACATGAGGAAAGATCATTGGGGCGGATCAAAGTTAATCTCTCTCTCAAGGGACTATTCCTATCTTCCTACGCAATAGCTTCGGGCTTGGAACGACTTCTTAGAATGAGTCGAGGGTACATCAAATTTTTAATCATATAGACTTTGAACTAATTTTGAAAACAAACATTGCTTCAACCAATGAGGATATAATTATTTGGGGTTACCATGGCTCAAGTATTTGTTCCGTTCGTTCGGGATACTAATGGCTTCAACGACCATCTCATTCTATGACAGTCACATCTAGAGTTTAGAAATTAGTAGCTAAATTGTATGTTTTACCTAAGATTAAGATATTTGCTTGGTGAGTAGCTCATAATGGTTTATCAGTTAGTAAACGTTTGCTTGAGGCCGGAATAAGTGATGGTATTTGTCTAATGTATGGAATGGATGAAGAGACATGTCATTGTGCCGGAGTACGGTGTGCATTTTTGTCAATTCAACTTGTTTCTCCGTTAGATTGGCTTGATTTGGTAATCTCTGCCATAAAGATTGATGACCTAGCTTGCTTTCTTGTTCTCCTTTGGAATCTTTGGAATGGAAGGAATTCCAAAGTGCATGGAAACAAGTGGCAACCCCGTGGATACTGGCTATCAATGTCAGGTCCTTGCAACAAGAATTCTTATCGAACAGGAACCAAGCGTTAGAAGAGTGAGGACTGAGCGTTTTGTTCTCAAAACGTCGTCGCTACTAAGCCAGATGAAATGGCAACCTCCCCCTCCTGATTATGTTAAAATTAATCTGGATGGTGCTTTTTAAACCATTGGGAGGATGACATCTGTTGGTGTTATTGCTCGTGACTCTCTCGGCCAGATACTTGATGGTTGCGACATCGCTAGGTTGTGTCGAAGTTGGCATATAAGAGATTCACACTTTCAATGTTGCTCTTTTGTTGGCTAGATAGTATAGTTGGACTCATCTCATATTCGAATCAGACTCGACATTCGTTGTTAACAAGCTTTCCCGACATGAGGATGATCTATCCACGTTGGGTTACCACCTTTTGGAAGCTTGTAAGACACTAAAGGCTAGGATCCACTTTAGGATTTGCTATGTTCCTAGATCTTGTAATTTTGTGGCCCATACTCTAGCTACGTGGGCTCTTAGGTCTGGTAATGCTATGTATTTTGACTCAGTTTGTCTTGAGCTTATATCGTCTGTTGTATCGAACGATTATGTTTATGGTAATACAAGTACACAGGGCACTCTTTTCTCCTTATAAGCTTAAAAGGGGTTTTAATGAGACCTTTGTTCTTAAAAAAATATATAATTAATCATATATTATTCTTATTTTAATAAATAGTCATTATAATTTATAAGAATTTTATTTTAATAAAATAAAAAAATATTAATATTTTTATTTATAAAATTATAGATATAATATTTTAATAATAAATATTGAAATAATTAATATTAGGTAAATTACTTTATATTTTAAAAAATAAAAAAATATTTATTATATTTGATATTTATAATAAATAAATTCTAAACAATTTACCAATTAATGAAAAATAATTTACACAATATCACCTAAACAACGTAAAATTATTTTCAAAAATTATTTTCTAAGAAATATAATTAATCATGAAGCCGAACATTTTAGTGGACTTAAAAGAGGCGAAATTGGTTCAATATCGTATTTAGGAGAGAAAAAAAAATTAGAGTTCTAAAGCACATACTTTTAATTTGATATATATGATATTTGTTTTAGTATCTAATGAATTTGTCAAGTAAAAGTGACGAGTTAATCCAAATAATATTTTTTATTTAAATTTGTCATCTCAAGGTGATAAATTTTAGTAAATTTTTTTTTTCAAACTTTTATCGCCAATGTGATAAAAATTAATAAAAAAATTATATTTTATTCAAACTTTTCATCTGGGGTATATTTTTTAAAATTCTTCACCTCAAAATGACGAATTTTATACAGTGTAAAAAATATTTTAGATCCCAAAAAATCAAATTATCCTATTTCTAAATAAAAGGTAAACTACACGAGTGACCACCAAACTATGATCATTAATCGATTTTGCGACCACCAAACTTTTTAATTGATTCAATCAAACCACTCTCCCTTAAAAAACGGAATTGCTGACATGTCCGTTAATAAAACTGGCATAATTATATATTTGGTCCTTAATATTTACATATTTTATCAATTTAGTCACTATTTTAATTCAATTAAAGAAATTTAATTATCCAATTAGAACATGACATGTGTCAATATATGATTTGAAGGTTTTATTTATGAATTTTAAATTATTTAATTAAGTGATTTTATAACCAATCAAATGACGACACGTGTCATCACCCCTAATTGAAATGGAAGATTGAACAAGAAAGATGCGCCCGAGGAGTTTCGAACCGTCTAAGGGGAGAGAAGAGTAACCAAGCGCCTAAACCATTGGGTCAAAGCTCCCCAATGTTTTTAACTTACAACAATTTGTATTTGCCTTGTACAGATAAACAAATTATTTGGTTAAATAAATTTCAGTTCGATTAGTGGTTACAGAAAAAAATTCGGTTCGATTAACAGTTAAAGAAAAAATATTTTATTTGAAAATTATTAACCGAACCAAATTAACTGAATTTTTTTTCTTTAACATTAATCGAACCGAAATTTATTTGAAAATTATTAAACGAACCAAATTAACCGAATTTTTTTTCTTTAACATTAATCGAACCGAAATTATTTGACCGTTAATCAAACCGAAATTTATTTGAAAATTATGAACTGAATTTTTTTCTTTAACCATTAATCGAATCGAAATTATTCGACCATTAATAGAACCGAAATTTATTTGAAAATTATTAACCGAATTTTTTTCTTTAACCATTAATCGAACCGAAATTATTTGACCGTTAATCGAACCCAAATGTATTTGAAAATTATTAACCGAATAAAATAAATTATTTTTTCTTTAACCGTTAATCGAACCGAAATTTATTTGAAAATTATTAATCGAACCAAATCAACTGATTTTTTTCTTTAACCATTAATCGAACCGAAATTATTTGACCGTTAATTGAATCTAAATTTATTTGAAAATTATTAACCTAATTAACTGAATAAAATAAATTATTTTATCCTTAACCGTTAATCGAACCGAAATTTATTTGAAAATTATTAACCGAATCGAATTAACATTATTTTTTTCTGGAACCATTAATCGAACTGAAATTTATTTAACCAAATAATTTGTTTATATGTACAAGTCAAATACAAATTATTGTAAATCAGAATTATTGGAGAGCTTTGGCCCAGTGGTCTGGGCGCTTGGTTATTCTTCTCCCCTTTAGATGCAGGTTCAAATCTCCTTGGGGGCATCTTTCTTGTTCAATTTTCTATTTCAATCAGGGTGGTGACACGTGTCACCACCTGATTGGTTATAAAATCACTTAATTAAATAATTTAAAATTCATAAATAAAACCTTTTAATCATGTATTGACACGTGTCATGATCTAATTGGATAGTTAAATTTCTTTAATTGAATTAAAATAGTTACTAAATTGATAGAATATGTAAATATTAAAGACCAAATATATAATTATACCAATTTTATTAACGTACACGTCAGCAAGTCTGTTTTTTTTAACGGAGAGTGGTTTGATTGAATCAATTAAAAAATTTGGTGGTGAAATTGAGATAAAAAATAATTCGATGGCAATATCAATTAATGACCATAGTTTAGTGATCTCCCGTGTAGTTTACTCAAAAAAATTATGGGCTGCCTGTAATAAAGATGCTCTCTCATAAATTTCACTGCCCACAAGGAAACTTTTAACCATACCAAAATCTATAGAGGATATAAAAGTAATTTCATAAACACTAGGGCTTCACCCCCTATAAACGTGCTTCAAGTCTCCACTGAGACTCCTCCGCCTCCTTGCTTAACACAAAAATAAAAAAAACCCCAAGGAAGCATAGAACTTTCTTTTGTTCAGCCAAAATGGGTATGTCTCAAATTCATCTAATGTTGCATACATCTCTTTGAATTATGTAATTATCTAATCAGTTTTCTTGCTTAATAAGTTTAATGTCTTTATATTATAGGTATTTCTCGTGATTCAATGCACAAGAGGCGTGCCACTGGTGGAAAGAAGAAGGCTTGGAGGAAGAAGAGAAAGTATTAAGCGAAACCCTTTGTTTCCTTTTGTTTCGTGTCCCTACTTTTCTTGACTAGAAACATGATTTATTTAGAATGATTATAAAATGGGTTTTTGTTCTTCTAATTTTACTTGCATTGTGTTTTGGTTTTTGGACATTAGTTTTAGATTTAGGATTATTTCATTTTCAATTTTAGAACAATTCTAGTGAACTCTATTGGGATATTTTTAGATGTAAAAGTTGATCCTTTGTTGTTTTTTTATATGCCTGGGATCTTCCCTAGTTTCCTTTCTTATTGTATTGTTTTTTTACGTAGTATTTTCAATCTTGGTTTATGTAGTTTTTAAGCTTTGCTGTTTTATTATTTGTAAAGGTATGAGCTTGGAAGGCAACCTGCAAACACAAAACTGTCTAGCAACAAGACAGTCAGGAGGATTAGGGTTCGTGGCGGAAATGTTAAGTGGCGTGCACTGAGGCTTGATACTGGGAACTACTCATGGGGAAGTGAGTCGGTGACCCGGAAGACCAGAATCTTGGATGTTGTGTACAATGCATCCAACAATGAGCTTGTCCGTACTCAAACTCTGGTGAAGAGTGCTATTGTTCAAGTTGATGCTGCTCCCTTCAAGCAGTGGTATCTCCAGCACTATGGTGTTGACATTGGTCGCAAGAAGAAACCAGCGGCTGCTTCAGCTGCCAAGAAAGAAGGAGAGGTAGGGAATGTTTGTTTTTACATTCGGGTCACATGGATAATGTTTCTGTAGATCACTCATATCAGTCATATGTTGATGTTTCAATCATTTGACAGTCATTTTAGTTAATATTGTTGCTTTGTTTTTGTTTTGTTGTAATTGGACCTTGATATGATCCCTCTTTGCATGCACCTTGATATGCTTCATTCCACTTGTCTCAACTGGTTTTGAACACAATATCAGATTGTTTGACCCAGAGGTTATCATCATTATGCTGCATATGCGTATCTCTTGGTGTCTGCACCTTCTCCGACTTGGGTCTCTAAAAGTAGAAATTATGGATCAATGTAGAATAGTATTGTATGTATGGTCGAGAATAAAGACCTGTCCTTGGTGTTTTTAATATCAGACCGAGTGTTTCTCTGTTTACACCTTTACTTGTTTTGCTTAATTTGTGTTTAGGAAGCTGAAACTGCTACTGAAGAGGTGAAGAAGAGCAACCATGTCTTGAGGAAGCTGGATAAACGTCAGCAGAATCGCCAGCTTGATCCTCACATTGAGGAGCAATTTGGCAGTGGCCGTTTGTTGGCTTGCATCTCTTCACGGCCAGGTCAATGTGGCCGTGCTGATGGGTATATTTTATACTAATAGCTTTCGTATTCGTTAACTATTTATTACTAGCTATTATCGATCTCATTCTAACATGAGGTGGTATGGGGGTTCGACAGGCATATTTTGGAGGGCAAAGAGCTGGAGTTCTACATGAAGAAGATCCAGAGAAAGAAGGGGAAGGGGGCTGCCTAAATTTTTCCTACTTTTCATCTTCCTAGCAAAATGCTGCCCATTTTTTGCTTTATTTAACATTTTCAGAACATTTAAAAGTGTGGTGGCATTGAACATTTAATTTGAATCTTTGCTATTCAACAGCACTATTGTTGTATTTGAATTTAGATGATCTTAAGCTTCAGAAATGCGGCTTATTTACTTCATATTTATATACTTGCAATGATTGAAAGTGCTATCCGTATGTGTGGGTGATTGTAATAGCAGCATTATTTTTACTAATTTTTAATTATAATCTCATTAAAAAACATCAAACAAAATGCTCAATTTACAAATTAGTACAATTTGATTTAGAATGCAGAATGAGAAAATATGTGTACCTTAACATAAGATGCAAAATAGGAAGAAGAAAAATATCAAATTGTGAATATATATATATATATATATTTAAAATTATTATATCTCCTTTTTTTATGGAAAATGATATATCCATTTAATATAGTAAATATGGTATAAATATAGTACATGTGAGCACAACTAGTTATCAATGTTTATTAATAGTTTTGGGTGCTTCAATTTATAATTTCATTTGGGTTGAGAAGAGATGGTTGTGCATTAAAATACAAAGAAAAATCAACCAACAAAGACACTCCAATGTAAATTACAAAGTAATTTAAGTCTTGTAGACAAATTTTAACTATTTATCATATATTATTTCTTTTGTTGACGAATCTAAAGCATTGTAGCCAGCATTAAGTAGAGGTCACCGGGGATCGGATTACCTGCCTCGGTCTACAATAGGCCAACCCGGGGCATGGTATTTAAGCCTGATCCGACTATTTTTTTTTTATCAAATTCCATGTTCTAAATTGTTTCAAAATTTTGACATGGGTGGGGTTGAGTGATGCCAGGTCTAAGATCAGCTTTAAAACAAGTTCATGTATAATTGTTTTGATTCGATTCATGAACATTTCGAACATCGATGTGAAACTTACAAGAACATCAGATTAGATTGTATGAAGTGGTTTTGAATGTGTCATCGTTGATTATAGATATATTTGTATGCCATTTTGGTTCTATAAGAATTATTTAATTCTCCAAAAATGTTGAACACGGATACTTCAAGAAGAAGCAAAACAACATGGATTGAATCAATGTGATAACATCCACAACCTCATACGTAGAAGCATTTCAGGCTCATCTCTTCATACTAGTTCGGGATTCAAGCATAGACACATTTTGGCCTACTCGAAAACCGTTAATTATTGAGGAACACAATCATATAAAACAAATGGCAACTAATAGTACTCGTAAGCTTCAAGATCTTTACACAAATATGGATAAAGGCAGGTATATGAACGAAGAGATCAAGGAAATTAGAATAACATCCTTCGAGGGGGTGATCCAGATGGAACAGATGACGGTTTGACGGGTAAGGATATCCCCTTTCTTTCTTGTCCTCCTGCAACTTTGTCAATCAGTTTTGCAGCCTTGGGGTCAGTTAATAGTGTCTTCTGAAACAACTGTGAGAAGCCCGTAGCAATAATAGTCACATGGATCTCCCCGTTGTAACGATCATCGAAAACAGCACCAAATATGATGTTAGCCGAAGGATCAGCCAAACTTGTCACAACCTGAAAATCAGCAAAATCTAATGCAGATCAAGAAGAGAATGTAGCCAAAATGTGTTTCACTTTCCATAAACATGATAAGATTGAATAGGCAAAGAAGAAATTCCTAACACCATATGTACCTGTGACACACTATTTACTTCCTGCAGGGTTATATCTTTTCCTCCAGTAATATTATATACCACACCAGTAGCTGATTGAATTGATGATCCAATTAACGGAGCCAAAGTTGCTTGTTCTGCCGCTCTTCGGTGCAGTTTTTGCTACAGGAAACTCCTACCCCAAGCATTGCAGTTCCAGAATCTTTCATGACTGCCTTAACATCTGCAAAATCCACATTCACCAATCCAGGTATCTGCAAAAAGAAAGGAAGAAATTCCATTAGTGACAAAGCTCAAAACCAGAAAATAGGAAACAGGAAAAACAATTATTAAACCAAGTTTAAATGGTTCGAGCATTTAATCATTTATGGCCTAGATGGCAATTCATGCAATCAACAAATATATTCAATAGTTATTGCATGCCACAGGTCATAATGTCTAACAAGAATTATCAAGAAAAATCTAAAAACCTCTAGAAACAGTTCAATCTAAGAATATTTGAAAATGTAGATAGGTATGTGAAAGAATCAGAGACCGTGATTATATCTGAAATTCCTTGAACCCCTTGGCGCAGAACATCGTCAGCAAGAAGAAAAGCACCTTGAAGAGGTGTCTGCTCATCAGCAATATCAAGCAGACGGCCATTGGGAATTACTATGAGAGTATCAACATTCTTTTGCAACTTTTTGATGGCCTCCAGTGCCTGCAAATATAGAGATATAAGACAACTATTCTGACATTAAATGATCGAAAATTTGGAGGTTGAATTGCACTTTGCATAACCCAATCGGTTCTATACTGGACAAGGACTTCAGGCTATATATCTCCCACTATATGGAGCATCGAATGAAGGGAGTCAAACAAACATGCCAGCACGGTTCGTTTACGCCCCTCAAAGCTAAAGGGATAGGTTACCACAACAACAGTCAAATAGCCAGCCTCTTTGGCTATCTGGGCAACAACTGGAGCAGCACCGGACCCAGTGCCTCCAACCATGCCAGCAGTTATAAAGACAATATCTGACCCCTTAAGAGCATTTGCAATCGCATCTTTAGATTCCTCTGCAGCTTGTTCACCCAAAAGCGGATTTCCACGGGTCCCTACATTTCAGTCAATTGATTCACATCGTTAAATCAAATATAAAGCAAGTAAATAGTCCTACAACACAAGAGACAAAACAATGTTCTCATTGATCAAGCAAGAGTGCTCGACCCAGTCCACGAGTCAAAAGCTCTCCAATTTGAAGTGGGTTCTCAGCAGCGGACTGTAGTAGTGCTTGAGAATCCGTGTTTATAGCATAGAAATCAACACCCAAATTCCAAAACAAAGCAGAAATGACATCGGTAATTCCCTTTTGGAAGTTAAACATTCTGAGTAATGCATTTATGACTGAAGTGCCTTGAATTATCATCTCCATTACCTTCATACATGCACTTTAAATTCAGCCGAACAAATCCTCAGCAAAAGGAGAAAAAGAGAGCTAAGTTTTTAACTAATGCAGCACAAAGGAAAATTCACATAAAAATCATTGACTAATCATCTAACACTAATTTCAAAACGGCACTGAGTTTATACAAAGGCAAACTTGAAATTAGATTAGAACTAAATTTCCCAAATTCTCGAATTGACAACCAGAATCCATCAAATCAAAATGTCGGTTAAAACCCACCAGCAAAGCCACTTGAAAATGGTAAACCCCACAAAAATTCTCCATTTTTTTCAAACTTAAAGCTAAATCCACCTCAAGAAACGACACACAATGAGTCGGAGAGTAAAATAACCTATAAAATTTCACAAAATTTGCTAAATTTAAAGCAAAACCTAATAGAAAACAGCTGAAAATTAACCTGTAAACCGCTACCAATCATTCGATTAACAGCATTGTTACCACCTCCACCAACACCAACCACCTTTATCTTCGCGGTTTCCATTGGAGCAAACGAACAGCTTATCCCTCCAAAACGGTGACGCATTCTCAAAAAGCTTTTCTTCAACGGATATTTTGAAGAAAAACGTAGTCTTGAAGAAAACAAAGAAGAATAAGAAGTTAATGATAGTAATTCCTTTGGGTTTGTTACTTGAAGTGTCGCCATTTTTTACAAAAAGGAAAATATTTGATTGCGTGGAGAAGAAAGGATAGATGGGTTTTAGAGAGAATTTCAGTAAATCATTTGTAAGGAAATGTTGTTGAGAAACCACTTCTTCTTCTTGCCGTCTCACCTTCTCCGGTTTTAGCAGGAGAACATTAGAACGACGTCGTTTTCTCCTTCCTCGATTATCGTCTTTTCTTGTTTTTATTTTTCAAATTAATTTCCATTTTTTTAAATGAATCACATTAATGCCTAAATACGATTCAAACTTTTAAGATACTTAAAAAACAAGAGATTAGATTAAAAAAAATTAAAAATAAGATAAGTCTCAACAAAATTAAAATTTTATCCAAAAATACATTTTAAATTAGATTTCGTTTAGAAACGATTTTTTATAAATGTTAAAAACATTAAATTTCATCTTTGAAAATGGTTACATAGATTAATTAAATTTTATTTAATTCCCTTTCTACTAATAACCAAAGTTATTTAAATAAAAATGTTACACATCTAATAATCAGTGGTTACCTAAAAACATTTCAAGTTTTAACCTTTCATTTTTTGTCAAAATATTTTTTCTTATACAAATCATTTATTATTTAAAGTAAATATTTATTATTTGTGACATGTATCATACTATCAAATGTTGATATAATATTATCACATATGTTCACGTGTTACATGTTAATGTAACATATATGTGTACCATACACTAATACATAGTGTTCTTTATTAGTTTTTAACCGAACTAATCGATCGAATCAAATTAGTTTGGTTAATTCGATCGGTCACCGAAATAGTTCGGTCACAGAACATCTAATTTTTTTTTCAATATTTAGTTAACAATTACTTTGGTTCGAAATCGGTTAATTAAACGAATTAACCAAATTAATCAAAATTATTAAATATGAAATATGTTATATATATATATTAAATCCATATTTTGAGCTCAATCCTATTAATGACCCGATTGTTTTTTAACTAAACTAAATTCATTAAATTATCAATACCTAATTAAATTTTTAACTCAAATTAAAAAAAATTCTTTATAATTAAGTTAATCTAATTAAAAATTAATAAAAATATTATTAAAAAATTTGGTTAGTTTAGTTAACCGACCAAAATAACCAAACTTTGTCCGATTCAGTTAATATTTTCAAAAGAAAATTTTGAATTCATTTAATTGTTAAAGAAAAAATTCAATTAATTTAATTAATGATAATTCAGTTCGGTCGGTGACAAAATTAACCGGTTGAACACCCCTACTAATATGACATCCGCAAATTCCTTAACCCTCTCCGCTTTCTGTTTCCACAGCTGTTCGAGCGCTGGTGCTATAGCAGCCTGGATTGTCCCTGATGCCTTAACAGTATCCTACAATAAACTTACGAACAACATTAATCACCAAACCAAGAGTGTTACCTTCTTGTACGATTATAATATGAAATTAAGTGATTACCCGCAAAGCCAAGGAAACTTTTATCTCCAAGAGTATTTCCGACAAGGTCAGAAGAAGTTCTGCTCTTGACTTTTCAACCTGCTCAACCGTCCTCTTGTACACATCCAAGCACTCTTGTTCTATCTGCAGAAGCATCTTGTCTCTCTCTCTTCGCCGACTTCATCCCATATTTCCTTTAATCAATTGCAGGACATATTACCTTCTATATTTCTGCATGCAAGTACGTACAAGAAACAAAGATTTTGTTGAAGAGAACAAAGTTAGAAAGCACATTACTTGCAGTTTCTGCAGCAAAGTGCCACAAGTGGTTTCTCCCAGAAGAGGGTTCTGTGCATCCATTACTGCCATTTACTCAACCACTTCAACCTAGCTGTACCAAGGGAAGCATTGTATGGTTGCTTTGCTCTCCACAAATATTCGTTTATGCTCAAAGGGAATGAGCCATATCCGACACAGATCCCAGCTAAACCTGCAAAAATTATTCATTCTCTGACCAATTCGACAGTGCATATGATGTTGGAAGTTCTAACTAGCTGGTTGCATAGCACCAGAAAGGAAAAACATTTAAAATCATGCAAAATTTGACGTTAAGAATCAGAGAAAGGAATCGGAAGCATACCGGCTCTTTTGCTAAATGTTCGAAGAACAATTAAGTTATCATGCTTCTTCACCCATTGCGTTCTCGATTCAGTTCCTGAAAACTCAATGTAAGCTTCATCCAGCACCAAAAGTATTGGGGCATGTCAAGGATCTTCAAGAGAACTTCATCACTAATTATACTGCCAAATTCCCACTAACAAAGCAATGGAGCTATCAAAACAATATGTACGTGGAAAAACAGATCAGAGCAACATATAGTTACAGTTTCAACATTGCACGTTAAAAGTAAAGTCCGCAAGCTCCTGAAATCGCCGTAAATGATTTCTGAAGCCCCACCTAAACGAGATTCAAAAAGAAGCAACTAAATTATAGCAGCAAGACACCGGGAAAAGAAAAGGCAGTCATGTCTAACAAATTCAAAGGAAATAGAAAACATGTTCCACCAAACATTTTTCCGTCACTCTTGATCGGATAAAAAACAGGGTTTAAGATTTATACTCCCTTTGTGCCTATTGAAATAACACAATGATAATGTTCCTCAGATTTAAGAAAAAGGAAAGCCATTGAAAACATTTACCTTCCATCTGGTTTTTCCCACTCAACAGCCTCGGCCATTGCTTCTACATTCAAGCTGATGTCTGGCTTCCTAGGAACTGCACGGGATATTAATATGTCTATAGATAAAACAGCAGATAGAAAATACAAACAGCTGACAACGATCCACGCCCTAGATGCAAATAAAGATAATTACAAGGTGAAGATGTATGCAAAAGCTAAACTAGTAGAAAGCGTATTTCTACCTTTGATAACTTGTGCTGCGTTAACACCAGCATCAAAATTATACATTGTGAAGGTTGGAGGCAATCCAATATCTTGTCCCCAGGATCAAGCACACACCTGCAACAAAATATTTATCGAAAATAAAAAAGCAACTAGTTAGAAATATCTAATGCTTGAAGCCACATACAGAGTAGATATTATGAGCTAGCTACACCAACTAAGTTTCCTGGTACTAACCGCATGATCAGATCAATAAGTTCATCGCAGCCCCAACCGACAAGAGTATAATCAGATTCAATACCCGAATCTTCAGCAAGGGCAGCACGCAATTGACGAGATTCAGGTTCAGGATAGATAGACGGGAATTTCAAGGACCCCAAAGCCTCAAGAACCTACAAACAATCCTAAATTTGTAATCAGGGTAAAGTAGATAACTCAATTGCAAGAATGGTGCCTGCAATTGGTACAAAAAGTAGTAGTTATTTAAATGACCTCCAGAGGTGGACCATAAGGATTTTCGTTTGCATCTAATTTCATGATGTCTTCAGGTTTCCTTCCCAATTTAGACGACAAAACCTATAAAACAAAGACGCTACCCCACCTCATTAAGAAATAAAAACCAGCAAACTGATTAACATGAGATGCATATGGGAAGCTAATGATAGACCAGCAAGAAACAACCATAATGTATCAATCATGTCAAGATATTAAAATCAGTTCAGTAATCTAACACTCCAAAGAAACGATTCATTTGTTTGGAATCAACACGACAGCATTAGACAACCTTGGCATTAAGATGCAGTTTTCATTATTTTGAATTGTCACATTCCTTTGCTTATCCTCTAGCCTATAATATACAGAAATTTTCATTATACTGGAAACAACTAAAAAGCTTCAAAAATGTATATGATTCCAATGGCCTCAAACGGTAAAGTGGGTTGATAAGGAGGCAACTTTCTTAAGTGGGGTCGAATAAAAGAGTCGCCACTCAACTTCTGATTCACAGTCTCCCTGTTTTAATCACCAAAGAAACCGAACCTCAGCCATTTTTTGAAGGCTGTCACTTGTTATTATCACTCTCGGTTTCCTTATCCACTTATGTCTGGTTAATTCTCTGACGGTTATAGCTAGTAGGCCGACAAGTTCAAAAACATCGAATGGATGGAATAGGTTCCACGAGGCTGGGCCGGGCTACTTCCCGGTACGGTTCGACGGCGGTGCTCAACGGCCCCGTGAGGAAGTGGAAGAAGAAGTGGGTCCACGTGTCGCCTTCATCCACTGTTAAGCACTCTCAATCCAACGGCAGCAACAGCTCAGCCTCTACCAGCATCCTGATCTGTCGATGGACCCCACTCTCCTAGGCCGATTCCTGGTCCCCTTTCTCCACCGCCGAGGATGAGGCGCAGCCTCCCGAGCGCAAATTCCGCTATACCCCATTAAGTGTATAGGTATACGTATATACATACGTGTATAAAAAATCATGCCTTTCTTTTCTTTTACTTATAAACTTTAGATTTTAATGCCAGTTCATTTATATTTTGTTCTTCCGATTGCATGTGATAAGAGGTTTTCTTAAAAAAATCAAATTCGATTAGAGTTTTAGATGTATAATTTATTCAGAATTTTCTAAATCAATTAAGAACCATATATATTTTGAAAACTTGAACTCATGACATCTAGAAAAAAAGAAAATGTTATTCTTACTAAAAAATTTGAACTCGAATAGTTACATTTATAAAGTGTGCGTTGTTAATATGTTAAAATGTTCTAAATAAACTTAAAAAAAATGAACTTTAGAGACGTACAAACATGTATTGTTACCGAAATCATAGCTTAGCCTGGATATGGGACAAGGATAACATTTAAATTTGACATTTCGGTCTGTAAAGTTGCTGAAAATTTTGACTATTAAAGTGAAACATTAAGAGATTGGAGTTAAATTTGTATCTTTTATAACCAAACACGTCACTTTAAATGAAGGGAAATCATTTCATGAAAAGGGGGCACCCCCATTGTGTGTGTGAAAACTGAAACCCTGGAATATGTGGTTTTGGGATCAGGTAATGTGAATGGCACCGACAGCAACCCGCATTTACTAAACCCACATTGTTTATGAGAAATGGGATTTTCTCCTTTAATATTTCTGATGATTGTACGGCTTAAAAAATAAATGTCATATTGAGTTTTCAATGCTATATATTGTGAAAAATAAATGCCCTCTCCTAACCCAAACCCACCAAATTTATTGTGCAAACTCCTAATAACTACATTTTAATGCATACCCAACAAATCACCATTTACTTCACAGTAAAAATATAAACCACATATTCCCACGCTCCTCCACTTGGCTTTGCCTGGAAAAATACTTGAACTTAGCCGTGAGTTCAAGTAAAACTCGAGCTATCAACCGAATAAAATTCGTATATCTTACTAAAGTATCAGCTTGACTTTATTATATCTATAACTTGGGATGTCAGATTTCCCCAACTACAAATGCAAACCATTTCTCTACCATTAAAGAATTATTGCATCCCTCCCATCTTTATCATTGACATTATATCTCAAGGAATATGCCGAAAGGTACCACGTTGGTCCAAGCCAAGCATTCACCATAGCCAAAACTTGGTTAGTTTTCTAGAACATTGATTTAAAGACAATGCCGTCCTACCTACTTCGAGAGATTAAAAGTCACAACAAACTTCATCAGTCTCGGTCTACGAATAAGACAAAGGGTTGTAAATATCAAGATTCGAACCTCAAACCTATTGAGCATCCCGTTTAAAGAGCAGCCGAGTGATCTAAGTTAATCCGTTGGTTTGGTCTCGGGGTCTATTAACTTTCTGTAATTCGACTCTATCAAGAATCATTCAGACCAGCTCCCCAACCACCTATTTTCTATTTATAACACAAACCACAAAATGTTGGAATGAAAGTTAATTATGGCATGTAAGATTGTTGTACTGTTTTTCTTTGTTAATATCCTACTGCAAGTATCAAAAACAAGGGCAACTGTTCCAGCAATTATAGTTTTTGGAGATTCTACGGTGGATCCAGGGAACAACAACCAGGTACCTACAGTTCTAAAGAGCAATTTTGAGCCGTATGGCAGGGATTACGATGGAGGGAAGCCGACAGGACGTTTTTCTAATGGAAGGATTGCAACAGACTTCATTTCTGAAGCCTTGGGGATCAAGCCGTCCATACCTGCATATCTGGATCCAAACTATGACATAAAAGATTTTGCTACCGGAGTCTCCTTTGCTTCAGCCGGGACTGGTTACGACAATGCTACTTCCGATGTGCTAGTAAGTCAAGCTACAGATTGGTGATAAGTTAACTGTCTTACCATGTGAAACAGAACTCAGGCAGTGAGTTGTACATTTTTGTTTGCATCAGATTTTCCATGAATTTTGTTGAATTCCATTCCGATTCTTGCCATAGCTTGCCCGAAAGAAAAGATCTCAGTTTCAACATGTTCTTTTAATCTAGTTCAGAGGTTTAACCAACTCCAACAATAAGTCATCAATTACTACTTACTAAGCTCATCTCGATTTTTCTCGAATTTGCAGTCTGTCATACCATTTTGGATGGAACTGGAAAACTACAAAGAATATCAGGACAAACTAAGAAGACATCTGGGCAAACATGAAGCTAATAATCGTTTGACTGAATCACTGTACCTGATAAGCATAGGTACCAATGACTTTTTAGAGAACTTTTACATCCTTCCGACCAGATCTTCAGAGTATTCAGTTGACCAGTATCAGAGCTTTCTAATAGGAATTGCCAGCAATTTCATCAGAGAGCTCTACAGGCTCGGAGCTCGGAAGGTAGTCATTGCTGGCCTTCCTCCAATGGGTTGTTTACCATTGGAAAGAACAACGAATATGTTCTTCGGAAGTGACTGCATCAATGAGTATAACAACGTAGCTAAAGATTTCAACAAGAAGTTAAAGGGTGCCATCACAGAGCTGAACCAAGAACTTCATGGAATCCATCTGGCTATGTCAAACCCCTATGATAAGCTAATGGAGATGATTCAGAATCCAAGTCATTTTGGTAAGATGTTAGCGATAAAATACATCGTTAGGTACTGTTACTTTAAATGGAAACATTTCACTGTCTAACAATTTGGTCCTAACGTCGTGTATAAAGAATAGGAGATACCTAGAATAAGGGCATATTCACTACTTGAATCAATCACCTATCTTGTTCAAACTCCATAAAGATGGGATTCCTGTTCTATGCCATCCACATGGGTCAGATATCATGAAGAAAACAAATCTAGTAAAACTAACCATGTTGAAGCCCAAAAAATGGCCCACTTAGTTCTTTCAGTTACCCTTAAATGCTAGAACAATAGCATATCTCAACTCTGGACATCTACAACCATTTCCTTATCCCAGATTATGTCATCCTAAGAAATTTAATAATTATAGATGATTTTGCATGAGTTTTAGAATTAACTTTGCTTACCTGTACTGTCCTGAGATGATTCTTGGTCTTTATGCATAAAACGGACAACACATAGAAGGAAAACATTCAAAAAACAGGCATGCTTACAAATTATATGAAACCAAACAGCAACTGGGTACTTTCAGGTCCCCTTTGTTGTTACTTGCCTCTCACAAGCCTCAAGAACTCACATTTACTAGTTTCATACAAATTATAACTTTCTTTTGTTTAAAACATGCAACAATAACACCATAAAAACAAGCCTTTTCAGGCAAGCTGGGCCATCTTTGTGTGTGTGTGTGTGTGTGTGGCTGTGCTTGTGAACATAATTGTGCGCAGTGCACAATGTGAGTGTAGATCTAATAAGGCAAGTGTTCTAATATATTTCTCCTCTTAAGGTATTTTTTCTGATAAACATTATACAATACAGGATTTGACAATGCAGAAACAGCATGCTGTGGGACTGGATTCTTCGAGATGAGCTACCTGTGTGATAACATGAACCCATTTACATGTTCAGATGCCAACAAGTATGTCTTCTGGGATGCCTTTCACCCAACGGAGAAAACAAATGCCATTATGGCCGATTATGTGGTCAAAACTACCCTAGCTGAGTTCTGATAATTACTAAAAGTAAACGAAGAAGCACTGCCTCATTGTTGTAGGAGTATTAACTAGATATGGTATTATTTCAGTAGCTAACTTATTATTGCCTTTTCAAATACATTCCATGCGGCAAAATATATCAAACAGTAAGTCAACTGAAAAAATGCATGTTAGATGAAGACACATAAGAACAAGTTTAAACTTTAAATCAAGAAAGATTATCATCTCCTCTAGACAACAATTATTTTGGAAGACATTTTGTTGTGATCTATGAGGCTCTGCAGAGTATTTGCATGAAATTATCATTCAAAGTTTCAACATCTAATAGATAATTTTTCTGTCAGAAGAACAAAAAAAAGTTTGATTCAGAAATGTTTTCTAAGAGATTCCCATCATGGAAATTGACATAGTCTACTAACAAATAAGATCAACCAAAAAAACTGTTCTTCATTGCATACTAAGATCCTTTAAAGAAAAAGTTCATTTGAGAGGGAAACCAAATTTTAATAAGAAGTTCACTCCAAACTATCAAATATCAGGCATATATACAAGTAATCAACTGGTTTACAAGAAGTACAGAATAAGCAGCAGCTAGATCTTCGAGGGCACGGTATGTAAGGTACCCTGTGGAGCATACTTGAATCATGTGGCTGATTTGGGCACTTTAGGAAAATGCAGTTTGATAAGTGCAGGAAGCTCAGCTAGCTCAACTCGAGACTTGCCCAATAAAATACTCTTCAATTTTTCATCACAATTGACAAGATTCTTGTTGTTTGGATCCTAATCAAGAAAAAGTGGCACACTCTTCAGGTAAATTTGTATATATAGTACAACATCAAGAACACTTAGAAATCAATTTATGAATAAGAAACTAAAATCTTCAGGAACTCAGTCCCGAAATGCCAGCCACAATAAACAATTAAACATAAATAAGAAAGCCTTAATGTCAAACAAAATCATTAAAAACCCTCTAGAACAGGTGGTGGTGACAAGAGCATCGCTCACGGTTTCCACTTTATGACATCAAACTTTTGTTATTATAAAATGAATGATCTTAGACATGATTAACATTTTCTGGGACATGTCTGCATATGATGCAGACTTGCAGAGAGAAGATATCATTGTCTTCATGGACATACATCTCCACAAATGGCAGTAAAACATTACCATTTACGGGAAAATGTCATAAAAACACTTCTTACCAATAAAATTAATCATTTGAAAACACATCTTGAGCATCACAGCAATTTACCAATCCAACTCTAACATGCTAATAAAGATTAAGAAGACGCAACTATCAATGAACCATGAAACTTGTTCAATAATCTACATGCAACGTCATGGAGTGCAAAATAATATGAAAATATGTGGGTGAATACAGCCTCTCCGTAATTTATTTATAGGCATTTGATAGGGGGAATAAAAGAAAGAATCAGTTTTAAAACAGGAAGCTGCAAACTTAAACAGGAGCCATAAGATTACCTGAAGATTGTTCTCTTTGATATAAGACCAAACACGCATGAAACAACCCAAACGTGAAATCTGAGACTGGCCCACAAATTCTCTAACTGGGGAAGGAAGATTTACAAGGTCAATCAAGTTCGCAAGCTTCTTTGGATTATCAGTAATTGTCTTCTTCAGTCTCTGTGGCAGCATTTTTCTACCTTCTTCCCCTCTATAAATCCAAAAACCATAAACCAAACAGTTAACAAATAATTTTTTTTTCAACGCCCAACAACGTTTAAGAAAAAAAAATGCTTTGTTGCTTAAAAAAAGAAGCAGAACCACAAGCTTCTGGGGAATTTTATCGAACAGTTGGCGTCACTTTCAAATTCACAACCATTTTATTTGGTTATCAATTCTAAATTGCGAAAATTAACAGAGTTGAATTAAAAGATATCCCAGTCTTTAACCTGGAGAGAAACGGATGGCGGGAAAGTTAGGGGGTAGAATCGTAAATAGAAGCAGTTCTGAATTCCAAACTTCAAGCTTTGGAGTCGAGAACGGGAGATTGAAAGAGAAGCGAAAGCAGGACCAAGGGCAATTTAAGAACGTTGCTTAGGTTCTTCAAAACGGCGACCGTGATGCTAATGAAACGACAACCTAACAACTAACTCGCAAAAAAAAAACTCTAAATTTGGATAAATTACACCGAATGCCACTAAACTTTAGATAATATATTGTTTATAATATTAAATTTTCAATTATAATATTAAATTTTCAATTATAATATTAAACTTTAATTTTGAATTCAATTATATCGTTGGATTGTTATAATCTAAACTTTAATTTGTTTCTTTCATATTCTCTTAGGTCATAGGATCTGAAACACTTCCCTTCCTTTTCTTAAGTCCCCCTCCCCCTCCTCATCTAAATAAAATTAGAATTACATTTAGAACTTGTAAAAAAACCCGAAGTTGTTATATATATTAAACTATATAGATGTATCGGTTGTCACTAAACTTTTAACATACAATTTTATGGTATTGTATTTTTTCGTTATTGATGACAGTCATCCATCTCTTGTAATTGATCATCTTTCACGATAAGATTGATATTAGAGCGTTCATTTCATTCATCTTTCTCCATTCAATAAAAATAAATAAAACAAAACAAAATTTAATAACAAATATAAAGGAAAAAAATAGAACCAAACAAATTTTAACTATAAAAAATTAATTATAAAAATAAAGATATAACAACAATCCCTTTTATTACTCGATTTAATAATTTCAAAACAATAAAAATTTAAAGTCTCTAACAAAGCAATATCATAAGTAAACACATATAATATAATAAACATTTAAAAAAAGGAAAAATATTAGTTAATTATAGATGGATATTTGACTCAAACGTGCTTTATAAATTAAAGATTTATTTTAAGATTTTATATTCGAATTAGATTAGAATTTTTAAAGAATGACATCAAAAGAATTTTAAATTTTAAAAAATATTCAATTTAATTTAACTCAAAATAATCATATAGTTATTTCTTAAATATTAATATATATATATATATATATATATATATATATTATTTTCGGTTAGAAATCTATTTTATCTAAAATATACATATATCGAGTCTAGTGGGCCAATAACCTGACCCCATCCCTAAACCTAACCATTTCTTTCACCGACAATCGCTATATAAAGCAAAAATCTCCTCCCAAAGAGATCGTGTGTTTCTCCAACAGCCAAAGTCAATATATATATATATATATATTGCTAGCCCGGAGCCCCAAAATCGAAACCCTCCGATTTATCCCAGAAGTAGAACAAACAAGATGTCAGATGTAACCAATCAAGAAGAAGACAAGAAGCCCGCTGATCAAACGGCTCACATTAATCTCAAAGTCAAAGGCCAAGTGATTTTTCCCCTCTTATCAATTATATAGAAAGTGCAAGATCGGTAATTGATTCAATATGGGGTTTCTCGAGGCGCACGATAACAGGTCTGATGTGTGCTCCGATTCTCTTCTCCGGTGTTAATTTTGTCCTGGGTTTTCAATATTGGGTGATTATTAGCTTTCTCGGTGACTTCCACATGGATTCGTCGTCTTTGAAACTCGATTGGAGGAAACTATTTGTTGGAACGAAAGAGCAGTCTTTCACCTTCTTTCCTCCTAAGGTCTTAGATGGGGTCTCCACTGTTAAACCGCCATTGACAATGATTGAGGAGGGTATAGTTGATTGGAGCTTTGCGGTTGGCGTTGCTTTTAATTTCGTCGTCTCGATGCAGCGTATTATCAGCTCTCTTTGGGGAAAATCCTCTTCTGTTAAGGTTAGTCTTGATGGTGCTAATCTTTACGTCTTCTCGTTTGAAAATACTTCTATTAGGGACTGGGTGCTTGAGAATGGGACATGGCATGTCCAGAATAAACCTCTGGTATTGAGAAAATGGGAGCCATGTATGCAAAAGTTGGATTTCGATCTTTCTCGCATACCTGTGTGTATTCGGCTCTACAATGTGCCTCTGGAATTATACTCTATAAGAGGTCTCAGCTATATCTCTAGTGCTTTGGGTAATCCATTATACATGGACTCCATAACTGCTTCTAGGGGAAGATTAGAGTTTGCTAAAGTTTGTGTCGAAATCTCTGTCGGGTTTGTGTTGCCAAATGAGGTTAAGGTAGTTCTTAAAGATGGATCAATGGTGAGGGTAGGTGTTTTTGCTCCTTGGCTACCAAGGGCTTACTCTAGTTGTAAAACTTTTTGTCATCTGGCTGACAGGTGTGTTGTAAGTCAGAATGCAGTTTCAAAGCAGGAGGTTTAAGTTTGGAGGAAAAATGACATTATACCTTATGTTCCTTGTGATGTACAGAAGATGGATTCGAACTCTCCTCATGTGGGCTCTATTTTGCCTCATAGTTCTTCAGGCAATGATATTCCTGCAGCTGGTGTTGGTTGTTCTAACCCTGAATTATTAGTTGGTGAGGTTGAGTTAGTTCATGTGTCTTCCTTGCAGGAGATTCCTTTTGGCCAAGCTCAGGAAGTTACTATTTCTGTTACTGCTTCACAGGACAGCAGGGAGATGTGTGTTACTGCTGTGAACTTGGTGGTTACTACTGTTGATCCTGATTGTTTGCCTAACTCTACCTTAGTAGAGGATGTTGCTCATAAAGTTTTGCAAGAGGATTTTGGGTCTGATTTTCCCACCTTGCAGGACTCTGTGGTCCAAAAGAAGAAGGTTAAGGGTAGGAAAAAAGATAATACTTGTTCCTCCAGTAAACTTGATGTGTTGGTTGGTGGTGGTGGTGTTATAGATGGTCAGAGGAATGTTAGAATAGCTTCCATGGGGGTTGTTGTCCTGCTAAATGAAATCAAAACTAAGAAAGAGATCTAGTGGACAAAGCGAAAGGAAGTGTGAATGTAAGGGTTGGTGTTGGTGTTGGCCCTGCTGCTAACTGATGATTGTGTGCTTCTGGAATGTAAGGGGGATTAATAACCCCCTTAAGCAGCAAAAGGTTCTGAGTAGGCTGGTTAACTTGGATGTTGATGTTGTGTGTCTTTTGGAAACTAGAATTAGAAGTATTAATGCTGATAAATTCTATTCTGCTTATTCTGATGTGTGGAACATGGTTGATAATTATTTGTGTTCTGAGGGTGGCAGAATTTGGGTTATGTGGAGGAAGCAGTGGTCCTTCTCTGTCTTGAGGACTACTGATCAGTCTCTTACTATTTCTGGAATTTTTAATGGTCATATGACTTTTATTACTGCTATCTATGGCAGTAATAGTAGGGTTGCCATGAGAGAGTTATGGGATCCTTTAAAGAACTTGGAAAATAAGGCTGGATATTCTCCTTGGGTAGTAGGGGGTGACTTTAATGTTGTCCTCCGAGCTGAAGAGAGTTCTAACTATGAGACTCTGGGCGACCATAATTCTCCTGACATGGAGGATTTTCAAGGCTGTCTGGAGGACCTGGACCCTATGGATCACCCCTTTTTAGGTCCCTCCTTCACCTGGTCTAATAGGCAGGATGAGAGATTTTTAGCTCGCAAGCTGGATCGAATTTTGGTCAACCATCCTTGGTTGACTGCTTATCCTGATTCGTTTACTGAATTTAAGGCTCAGGGTGTTTCTGGCCATTGCTTTGGTGTGATTTGGACTCAGTGGGGTGTCTTGGCTAGGAGGCCCAAGCCTTTCAAATTTTTTAACTGTTGGACCTCAAGTGCTGACTTCTTGGTTATTGTCAAGGAGACTTGGAATGAGCAATGTGATGGAAATCCTATGCAAAGGCTATTCATAAAGCTGAAAAAGCTAAAGCCTAAGTTGAAGGAGCTTAACAAAGAGCAGTTTTCTGATATTTCTAACAGATTACTTAGCAAAAAGGATGACTTGGAAAGGATTCAGTTGTTTAACTTGAGTCATCCTGATCTGAGGAACATGGACGAGGAGAGAATGACCCATGCTGAGCTGGTAGACTTAGAGATTGCAGAATCTGAATTTTACAGGCTGAGGGCAAAGGTTCATTGGTTACAAGAGGGTGATCTCAACACCAAGTTCTTTCACCAAAGAGTTGAATCCAACAAGAAGAAGAACACCATTAAGATGTTGGTGACTGAAAATGGACAGTTCCTAGACTTTTTGATGACATGGCGGCTGAGTTAGTGAACTTATTCACTAATCTCATTGGTACTGCAGACCCAATGGTCAAATGTCCTCCTGTGGAGTGCCTGAGAGACTTACTGAATTTTTCTCTACCTGTTGATGTTGGAGCTATGCTTATTAAGGAGGTGGAGGATGAGGAAATTAAAGAAGCCTTGTTTAGACAAGGCAATGGTAAAAGCCTAGGCCCTGATGGGTATTCTTCTTGGTTTTTCAAGGCTGCTTGGGATATGGTGGGTTGTGATTTCCTTGCTGCAGTCAGGTTTTTTTTATCTCCTCCTACCTGCTGTCTGCTTTTAATTCTACTACTATTGTCTTAGTTCCTAAGGCACTAAATGCTTGCATGGCAAAGGATTTCAGATCCATTTCTTGTTGTACTGTAGTGTACAAAACCATCACTAGAATCATCACTACTAGACTATCTCACATCTTTTCTAGTATAATCTCCCCTAGTCAGACTACTTTTGTAAAGGGAATAAATATTGTTGATAATACCTTACTAGCTCAGGAGATTGTTAAAGGTTATTCTAGGAAAAGTCTTTCTCCTAAATGTGTCATTAAGATTGATCTACAAAAAGCTTTTGACTCTGTGAATTGGGACTTTCTGATGGTTGTACTAGAGGCTGTAGGTCTTCTTGTGAAGTTCTGTAGTTGGATAAGGGCATGTGTTACTTCATCTCAATTTTTTGTTTCTTTGAATGGTAGCCTTGTGGGTTATTTTAGGGGTGCTAGAGGAGTTAGGCTGGAGGACCTATTGTCCCCTTACCTCTTTGTCTTGGTTATGAATGTTCTTTCTTCCTTGCTAGATGTCTCTGCAAAAAGGGGAATCTTTAGGTACCACCCTAAGTGTAAGAGAATTTCACTTACAAACGTTTGCTTTACTGATGATCTATTAGTGTTCTGTCATGGTTCCATGGATGTTGTGATGAGTGTTTTGAGTACCCTGGAGGTTTTTTATAAGTTCTCCGGTCTTAGGCTTAATGCCCAGAAAACTGAACTCTATGCTTGTGGCTTAGCTGACTCTGTCCTTCAGCTAATCCAATCTGGTACGAGATTTAAGGTTGTATGCTCCCTGTTAAATATATTGGGGTACCTTTGGTGGCCAGGAAGCTCACTAGCAAGGATTGCTCTGCTTTGGTGACTAAGATTAAAGAGAAGCTTTGTAAGTGGTCTAATAGAAAACTGAGTTTTAGGGGCAGGCTACAACTCATCAAATATGTCCTATTCAGCATCTTCAGCTACTGGAGTAGGCAAATCATCCTGCCTAAAGGGGTCATTAGTGATGTTGAGAGACTTTGCATGAGGTTCTTTTGGAAAGGTTGTGATTCCCTAGCTAAAGGAGCTCGAGTTAGCTGGAACCAGATCAGTTGTCTGAAATCTGAGGGAGGCTTGGGGTTGAGGAGTCTGGTTGATTGGAGTAAATCTTGTTGTCTTCTACTTATCAAGAAAATCTTGGCAGGTGAAGGTTCTCTTTGGATCGCTTGGTTAAATGCTTACTGTTTCAGGATTGACGATTTCTGGAATGCCGATTGTAAGTCTCATTTTAGCTGGATCATAGTAAAGCTGTTCAAAATGAGGAGTGAGGCTGTGAGACTATTCTGTTCCAGTAGTAACTGGGATCAAATTAGAGCCAGCTGGTTATGGGATAAGGTTCGAAGCAGAAGTGAGAAGGTTCCCTTACATCGTCTTGTGTGGTTTCCTGGCCACATTCCAAAATTTTCACTAATCTCTTGGATGGCAATCTATCTACTAAGGACAGGTTAGCCAGGTTTGGTATTGTTACATACAGTGTTTGTAGACTGTGTAGCTCTGGCCTTGAGCCTCGAAGTCATCTCTTCTCTGAATGCTCTTATGCAAGTGAAGCTTGGTGTGCTATCTTGCTACTATGTGGACTTAACCAGGTACCTACTGGTTGGAACGATCTTTTGCACTGGTTATTGCTGAACCTGAAAGGTAAATCATTGCTGGTGCATATCCTCAAGTTGGCTTGGACTGGCTTTATCTATTGCATTTGGGAGGAACGGAATCGTAGACACTTTAGAGGGGTGCATTACTCGGTTGAAACAGTTTTTAGTAGCGTTAAAGAATCAGTGAGAATTAAATTGTATAGGAGCTCTATGAATAGTCTAGATATTGTAAATAGGCAATTGTGTATAGATTGGGGACTGATATAATGCCTTGATTTATGTTTGTAGCAGCTTGACTGCATTCTTTTGGATGAATGGAATTCTACTTATCCAAAAAAAAAAATTCCCCTCTTCTTCTTACTGTTTTAATTATATTTTTTAAATTTTAGAGATTTGCTTGTTTCCCCTATTTCTATTAATTCAGCGCCGATGATATTTCATCCATCTCTCGGTTTTTACCGTCCTTTTTTTTTTACAAATTCACTTATTATGGAAGGTACGTTATTTTTTGTTTGACTTGTTTTTTGTTTTTCTTTTGGGAAATAAAACAATTTGATTTATAATATGGGAAACGGAAGCAGGCAAAAATAGTTTTTTTATGTATATTTCGGGAGTCTTGGCTATTAAAAGAATGCAAAAATAACTACTTTAACAATGGATAAGATATGTTAAGATTTTGGTAGCAAAACAGTGGTACTTTATTTTGATTACAGGAATTGTTGTCTTTATGATGTTTTACGTTACTTATCTATGATAGCAAGGTGCAAGCGATTGTCTAAAGAGTGAAGCAAGTTGATTTATTTTGTTCTGTGGACTATAATTGTATGTTGGATACCTTGGTTGTAGTATCCTTGAAGCAAGTTTTATTGAAAGGTTAATCCATGATGATTATATGCGTGTTTAAGTTAAAATTTCTGATAGTAATGCCATCTCTGCATTTTGTTTCCTTGAATTTGTGATCGTCTCTCATGGAGCTCGTACCCGTAATTTTAAATGGTTTATCACATAGGGTGTTTGCTTAGGAAGATTATGCACCTGTGCTTGGAACATCTAATTAGGAATGACGCCATTTTGGGAACACTTGTTAATGTACGGTACCTACTACAGTTAGCTTAGATTACGATGTGGAGCGTATCTAGGCTGAAATAATGTTCAAGGATGTTATGTTAAAAGGCTAATTCATTTATTTGCGATGTTTGTAGGATGGGAATGAGGTGTTTTTAGGATTAAAAGATCTACACAACTGAAGAAGCTCATGAATGCTTATTGTGATCGACAATCAGTGGATTTCAACTCTATTGCTTTTTCTGTTTGATGGTCGCCGTCTGCGAGGGGAGCAGACTCCAGATGAGGTCTCTCACTCTCTACATATATTTGTGTGCACGCTTATGTTTTGTTTCTTGTTTCTTACTTTTTATGTGTGTTTTGTTGCTACAGTTGGAAATGGAGGATGGGGATGAGATTGATGCAATGCTACATCAAACCGGTGGTGCTATGGTCTAACTAGCTATTTTTTTATGTTAGTAGGATTTAAGCGTTAGTATTTGTGAATTAGGGTCTATTAAATATTTGACGATTCAGACGTTTGCTTGGGGTATGATTCTTGAAATATATTGAACTTCTTATCCGGTATTCATCCCAAGTTTGAGTGGTCGTAGTATAGAACACTGGTGTTTGTTATAGTTTGGCATTCATCCCAAGTTTGAGTAGTTATAGTATAGAACACTGGTGTTTGTTATAGTTGCACGAGGACTCCATGTGGATTTTCTAAGTAGTTTATAAATATGGGTATTTGTAGAAAGTTTTCTATTTGTGCTTGACAAATGTTTTATCTCTGGTTTTTTATTGCTTCACTAATCGCCATTGCCAGGCAAGGCCATTGCTAACATCCTGTTTAACGCATTATTTATGCAATGAATGTAATATTTTGTTGAGTTCGTGAAATAATGCAGTAAAAATTAATTAAAAGCTAGCACACAATGACGTACATTTATTATCTCGTAACATCAAGCATTACATTGGACTTGGAGTCCATGAAGCAAAAAAAAAGCATCTAGCAGTTTAAACAAGGTCGATAAAAACAGTGCAAACTGGGTTTTGCTTATTTAGGCTACAAGTGCCATAGAAATTCTAAACAGGGTTTCGATTCCTGAATGTTTATCTTTACTGCAAAACAAGACATTCTTGTGTCCCAACCACCATGGCATGGTGGGAGCTATCAGTGATGGTATTCTCTTCTTCAAAAGATTGAGTTTTGGTATCAGGATCCTCAACCACAGCAACACTTTCAATGACATCTGTGCCACCAGCAATGGCTTCGAAGATGAGTTCATTCACTTCTCGGAACCTCTCATCAGAGAGAGAAACCTCTGCAAGGAGCCTCCAGGCATTTTCCTCAGATGATTCATCATAGTCCTTCCTCCTTTTCAACACCATATGACCACTAATTTCCCACACAGCTGGGTTGACCTGGGTGTCCAAGAGCTCTGAATTCACTTCCCCAAGAGCTTGTTTCTCAGCATAACACTGTCAGTTCAAATGTAAGATCTATTAGATGTAAGGAGATGATAAAAAAAGTGTCAACCATACTTCTAGTTAGTTTACCTGAGGAAGGATAAAGATCCGCTTTCCACAATCAGAGATGAGCACATTGTATGGTATGTTGTTATCTTGAAGGCAAATGCAGGCATCAGACACAGTGTCGGACAAATCTTGGAGAGTGTTACCACCCCCAAAGACAAGACCTCTGACTGGATACTTTAGAAGCTCTGAGATAATCACACCATCATTCAAAGTGGTAATTTTCTTGGTAGGAGCTTTCTCAATAGGAAAGGGAACAGCCAAGTAGTAGGCCTGCAGCGATTACAATAGTTAAACCGCTATCTCTCTTCCGGTCTACATAAAATATATCTAGCAGTTAAAAGTAAATGGAGAGTACCGTTAGGAGGTTAGATACCTGGAAGTGTAGGTGATTGATTGTAGCAAATGCACCCAAGCTGTTGTAACCCAATCTAAAGTGCGGATTCCCAGCTTCAGCTGCCATATAGAGTGCAAGCAACAAGCTCTTGTGGTCAATCCTCTGGGGCAAGCATTCGAGAATTCGAGGGATCAACAGCACGTGCCCATATTCAATAGGACTAACCTGTCAAATTGTGTCAAACAATGTTTAATCATATGAGTCTAGCACTCTTGATAAAATAGATGCTATTCCATAGTTTGAATAAGTAGACTAACATACATTTATGGCAACAACACTTGGAGAATTTTCAACATCAATTGGAGCTTTGGGGAAGAACTGAACTTCACCATCTTCACTTGCTTCGAACTGGAAAAGCACCTCTTCTTGTCCGACTTTGGTGAAGTTGAACTTGTTCCCATCAAAGGGCTGGAGAACCTTATCAACACGGAACTCAGTTGGCCTCTTCTTCAAGTGGCGCCCCTCATTCAGCTGGGCAATAAAGCCATGTTCACCAGAAATCACCTAAAGAATGATAACCACACATTTTAGATGGTACGACAACTCTATTAACCATATAGTTTATGTTTTTCACAACCTCAGATAATCATGTAAAGAAAGTGAACAGAAAGGGAGCCCAAAATAAGACCTTGGTTTCACAGGCAGTTACATCATATCTAAAGAGCCCTCTCTGCATGCGATCCTCCCACTACCATAAAACCATCAAATAATTTTTAACTCATTAAACATAACGAAGAACTTAAAGCTTATTCACCAAGCTTAATAGCAAATTTTACCTCCCCAAGAACAAGGAAATCAAGAAAAGCAATCGGAGACTCTTTGTTTTCAATTTCAAGAACATCTTTTTCATTCCCAATATTGTTCTCCTTCTTGAAAGCATATAAAGGAAGCTTTGCTCCTATAAATTAAAACCCAGTTCCAATTACATTTCATTTCTATCAAAAGCTATCCAACCGAGCACCGTTTACAAATTAAATATAACAAATACCTGGAATGCAACAGCTTCTAAGGCAATTCTTTCCACATCCACCGCTCTGGCGAGCAGTCTCTTCCGCCTCATCTTTTTGGTGATTCGAAACAACAGTGGGAACCCTCTTAATACTGAGCTGCATCATCTTTGCTAATACTTCGCTTCTTTCTTTACCAATAAAAATCGAACAAAGGAACACCCGACAAGAACGACAACGCGGACAACGAGAAACAAGCTTCTTGGATATTATTATTTTACAGACTTAAAAGCTAATTAATTAGGCTACTGAAGTCTAAAAGACAATACCACCACCGGCAAGGAATAGGAGATCGGAAGGACTACCGCCTTCGGAAGGCAAAGCTCCACGTCCACCGTGCGGCGAAGGGGTTCTCTCGATCACACAACCCTTCCGTCGTACAGCTCGGACATGAAAACTAGGCCGAAAAAATTTGTGTATAGCCGTGATGTCCACAATGTCTAACCTTGGGTGTTGCCCCAAAATTAAAAAAAACCCTTTAAACAAACTAATTAAACAAATACCCAACCTCTCTAACTTCTATTAAACTTATTGTCGATTGTCGAACACCTGAGGTGCACCCGAAGATTGAACCTTTTCTCCGATTTTTTATTTTCTGCTGGTCTGCTAACGCAACGATATGGAAGATATATAGATGGGGGATGGTGTGGAGTATGTTTTCTCAAGGTATTGTGGCCATAGTTCTGATAAATGGGTACTGAACGAATCTAGTGGCCCTAATTTCCGAGGGGTAAAGGACTAATAACTCGACAGAGATGTGAAAAGGGAAAGGAATAGAGAGGATATTTCCCAGAGTTATGTTTGGGTTTTATTCTTCCTCAACCATACGAGCCTCGAAAGGGACAAGGCGGGTGCCGTTGACGGTGACCTCTAGTTTGGGATCCCAGCCAGACCGTATGGTTGAGCGCTCGCGCAAGAGGGTATGAACAAACACCTTCCAGAATTTATGTACGGTGGTATCTGTACTAGGGAATCCTTTTCTTTTGAGTTAATTGCAGCAATGTCTCTAAATTATAACTTGAATTTTAATTTAGTCTCAAATTTTGAATATTCTAATGAAATCGTCAAATTATTCATTTTATTTTAATCGTATTCTTTTATTAATAAAACATATGATTTTGGGGTACAACTCCTTAAACTAATGGAGTATGTTACAGGTATTATAAAACATCATCTTATATATTTAAAACTTATGCTCGGCATGAATCAAATAATCTCGGTGATAAATAAATTATTATTATTCTCCAAAATCAATAGTTCGAGCATCAAAAATATTAAAGATTGAACGTTCAATATTAAATGATTTAGAATTATCTTTAAATGATACTACATTGTACTCATTATGGATTAGTAAAAAAAACACTGTGGATCATTATTTTAAATAATTTAAATTTGATGCGTCAAAAATATAAGAATAATCTTATTAAATTTTAACAGTACATACTGTTTTTTAAATGTAAGTTTTAGATTAAAATGAGTTTCATGTTAGATTTAAATAAAACCCAATTAAAACATTAGGGTAAAGCACGCAAATGGTCCCCCGACTATAGGATGATTCTTTATTAAATTTTTCGATTATTAAAAGTTAAAAAATAGTCACCTGACTATTTATTGTGTTCCAAACTCGTCCTTTTTCCGTTAAAAAATTGGTGGTTGTCTAAGTTGGACGTTAACACGATGACTGAGATATAATAATCGTTTGAGATTCCGATACATATTTTATCATATCATAGTCAGTATGTTAACGTTCAGTTGAGAATACCGTCAAATTTTTAATAAAAAATGACGAGTTTGGAACATAATGAATAATTAGGTGACCGTTTTGTAACTTTTAATAGTTGAGGGACTCAATAAAATAACATTTTATAATTTAATGACTAATTTGTATCTTTAACAATTGGGTGACTATTTTATAATTTTCATATTTTTTTTAAGAAAAACTTCACCATTATATATTTGATGGGATAATACATCGAATATTATTTCACCAAAAGTTGTGGAAAGGGTAAGAGCCCTACAAGCATTTTGTATTAGCCACGTGTCCCTTGATAGGATCAAATGTCACAAACGAAGCAGCCTACAAAATGGGAAATTTCGTCTGCCGCTACATATCAGAATTGAATTGTCAATCGGTTCTTCGAAGTTATTTAGGTTTCGTATTTGGATAACTAAAAAACCATAACACAACATTTAGTATTTCAATTTGATAATTTTTTTAAATTGATTGTTAAATTTTTAGTCATTAATCAAATCTTAACTAATTTTCCCTATATTTATATCTTCGTTAAATATTAAAATATTAAATAATATTAAATGATATAAAATGATTATAAAATATTAACTTTTAAAATATCTGATCAATTTATCTGAGAATTCGATCCGCTTTTTTTCGGATAATTCAGATCAAATATCCGATAAAAATAACGGATGCGAATTGAAGAAATCTTAATTTTGGATTATCCGAAAATCCAACTAATAGATTGGCCTTTAGCCCTAGGCCCAGTAGCTGAGACATTTTCAAGCCTTACACTGTTATTATGGGCCATTAATTACCTTGTTTAACATTTTTTTGGTGCAAATCTTATTTATAAATTCATCAACACTGCAGCGTAAACGAAAGGTCCTCGTGGATGAAATTATTTGTTCGAAATTTCATCTAATTTTAGATAGCAAACAAGAGAATTTTATTTGCTATAAGTTATTAATGGTACAAATTATTTCAATAAAAATATACGACTAATATAATATGTAATCTTGTTTATAAAAAGTTCTAAATAATTTCTAATAATTATTTAAGTATTTATTATTAAAATAATATTGCTAACATATCTATAATAGTTTATACCAACAATATTTCTCGCTCTCCCAATCTCAAATACGCATATATATTCATAACATTTATATTTTCTGAGTTAAATTTTAAAATTTCAAACATAAGGAAGCTAAATTGCATATTTCTCTTCATCTAAGTTAGCTTTTTTTAAACTTGAAAAAGAAAGATTTTTTAAGTGGCATGTTCGGAACAGATATTTAGATATATCTAAAAAATCGGGCATTTGATTCTTTTCGAATCGGATTCGGATCATTATTTTAACTATTTAAAATTTTGAATATTCGAATTTTCAGATTACCCATCTGATTAAGAGAAATTGGAGTCTGTGTTTCAACTTTACACCCCAAAAATGCAGTGAAATAGCTGATTGCTTTGGCATATTTAGCCTGGAACCGTCCCATCCCATCTCGAATTCGACTAGTTTCGACCCGATCCGATTCAATCGAGTCGAATTTTTATAAAAATATTAAGTTCGGGTTAGATCGAGTTTTTTAGATATTATGTTCGGGTCGGGTTCAAGTTTAGGATGCAAAATACCCGACCTGACCCGATCCAAAAAATTGTAATTTTACCTTATATTTAGCAATAATTATAATAATACCTATCTATATATTATTTTTTAATTAAGTTCATATTTTTTTTATTAAAATTAATATTTTTTATTAAATAAATTATTTCGGGTCAACTTGGGGCTGGTTTGGATTTTATCTAAAAATGGGGTCGGGTAAGGTGGAATGTGTATATTTTTTGAGTCGGGGTTAGATCGGGTCAGTTGGACCGACCCAACCCAACCCAACCCATGCTCATCTCTAATGGTATTCACTTTCTCCATGAACCACCATTGGAGTTAAGGGTCAGTGTTCGATTGAGTCGAGTAAAAAAATTTCGAACTATTCGAGTTGACGAGTCATTTTTTACTACTCAAAGTTGACTTGAAATTTTGTCGAGTTTATAAAATTCGAGTCGAGCCGAGTCGAGTCTATTCAAATTTTCGAGTTTCTATTTAAATTTAATTGTAAATATTTATAATATTATGATATTATTTTATTTCACTTTAAAATATTTTTATAACCATATACAATACATATATATTTCTTCATATTTATTCCATATGTGATATACATATATCATATAGAGTTGAGGGACTTAACTCAAACTTGAAAATTAATCCACTAGTTATTAAAATTTTGGCAAAAATGCACCACAAATCCCTAAACTTAAAAAAATATGGCCTTCATCCTATTTTTTGGATCAATGTGGCCCAAGTAGGGGTGTTCAAAAATTCGATTAACCTACTAAAACGACTTAATTGAATTTTTTTCCGGTTAATCGGTCGATTATTTTTTGTTCGATCGATTAATGATTTATGATTTTTTTAAAGTTAGGTTATCGACTAATTCGGTTTGAAATCGGTTAATTAACCGAATTAACCAAAAGTTTTAAATATTTAATATATTATTTATATATTAATAGCTTTAGGAGTGTTTAAATTTTAGTTTTAGCCGAATTAATCTATTGAATTAACATACCGAATTAACCAAATTAGCCGAAAATATTAAATAATTAATAATTAATATATATTATTTAAAATTTTGGTTAATTCAATTAACCGAACTTCGCTCGATTTGGTTAATTATTTTAAAAAAAATTGAGTTCTATTAACAATTAAAACGGAAAAAAATCGGTTAATAAAATTTTGAAAGTTCGGCTCGATCGGTTAGTCAAACTGACAAATTGAACACCCCTAGGCGTCCAACTTGAAAAAAGAACCTAATGAGACCCTTTGACCAACAGTTTTCGTCAATGATCAATGACTCTGTTAATTCCAGCTATTATAAATTGGGTAAATTACACAATTTATCACTCAAGTATTTTTTTCTCTTCTTGTTTTGTTCCTAAACTCTAAAAAATTTCAATTTCGGAAATCCTGGAGACTTCAGGGGCTAAGGTTGTAGTTAACTCATTTTACCCCTATTTCTCTAACTTATGTCCTCTCCTTCTCGCCGCCGCAGTGAGCCAAGTTCAATTGCCTTCTTCCATTGCAATGGCATCTCTAATTCTCTTCTCATCGACGGTTAACGGAGCACCGATATCAGACCAAGACAAAACCATTATCTTCTCCCTAAGATCAAGTAAACTGATGTAACAGTTATCTTTTCTGGGAAACAATGACATAGTTTTGAACAACAGTATTAGTACCAGGGAATTTTTAATACAAATGGAGGCCATTTGTTGTTGATTTGGTCACCGCTCCAACCCTTCATCTTTAGTTCCTGTCTATCATCGTCGTTAGATCTAAAATAACTTTAAGTTTTGAAAAAGTTCTTCAACTCCAAGAAAAATCAGTCTTCAAATCAACGTGCAATTTTCAAGTCGAAGATGTATTAACTTTAAGGAAATATTTAGCTAAGCATGAACTGGATCATGCTTAATATTGTGGGAGAAAATAATGAAAGAAAAGTGGCGATCAAAGGAAAGAAATATTTTAATAATTCAATGACAAATTAAATTTAAATTTATCTTTCAACCGTTGAATCTAAGGGTATTTATAACCCAAAATTTCTAAGTAAATAAAATAATTAATATCTAAATATAATCAAACTAAAAATCTTACCAGAAGTTTTAAGTAAATAAAATAACTAATTTTTAAATAAAAGATAATGATAAAATAATCAAACTAAAACTTACTTCTAAAGGTTTATCACAAAAGATAAAAATAAATATTTAAGTCTTGTAGTCATGGTTGAGTTCTGATTCATCTTATGAATAACCTTGTTTCAGTAAAATTTTTAATTAAATATTCAAGATAATTTTGCTGGTCTTCTAGATGATGCTGTCTGGATCGTCAAAATCTGCTAGTTTTTACACTAATTAATCCAAATATTGATTGAACTGTCTAAATATGCTAGTTTTTAGACTAATTAATCAAACGTAACTCCAGTTTAAAATAAACTAAAAACAAAGATAAATGAGTAAAATTCAATAAAAATAAAGAGTATCGTAATTATAAATAATGACCTGTCATACATAATAAGCATTATATGATCTATAATTTTGGGGTTAGGGTGACACAAATTAAATCACACACTCGAATAACAATAATATATATAAAAAATTAAGAAGAAAATACGATTATATATAACTATATATACATGTGCTGGATGTATATAGTTCTTTAATGAAAAATCCATTAGAGGTTTTATTGCCTGCAAGTCTTTCTCTATCTATTACTCACATCAATCTATGAAATAAGCTATGATGTTAAAAGTTAAAACCCATCTCGGGCTATTGTATTAAAAATGTATAAATAATCATAACAATTAAAATAACGAATAACTGACTTTCAACAAGATTATTAAATCTTATTTCGATTAATACTATTATATTTATTATATAAAAATATTAATTCAAATCATATAAATATTTTTTTCAAATATCAGGGATTCAAATTTATACTACTAATCAAAATAGTGTCAAAGTTTATTTATCACTCATTGGATGATAATAATATTTATTTTTTATTTTTTCAAATTATTAAGATAGGAATTTTTATATTATTTTTTAAAAGATAAAAAATTGAGATTCAAAATTTGAATTTATGAAAAGATATAAAATTAATTGAGTTAAATTCATAGAAAGACTTTGTTTTTTTTTTCTTTTTCATTTTCATTTCTCAAGCAAAAAAAAAAATTAGAAGTTACATAGTAATTTTTTTCTCCTTTATTTTCCCTTCTCTTCTTCAATATTTGTGAAGAAAAGAGAAGGGGAAAGAAAGGAGGAAAAGAAACGAAACGAAAAACAAGCCTCCGTCAAACCCTGTAAAAAGGGTACAGAGACAAGAATTCAAAACATCAAGCAGGACGTATAAAGAAGAAGAAAAAATATTTTTTTTACGTGCAGGGTAATTTAGAGACGGAAAAAGAAAGGAGATGATGATAGGAGAAACCAACAGCAACAATCACGTTGGTACACAAAACGAAGGCGGCGGCTTGAGGTTGAAAAAGGGACCGTGGACGGCGGCCGAGGATGCAATTCTGGCAGAGCACGTGAGGACTCATGGCGAAGGGAATTGGAATGCGGTGCGAAAGAATGCAGGTTTAGCTCGATGTGGGAAAAGTTGTAGGTTACGATGGGCTAACCATTTGAGGCCCAACTTGAAGAAAGGAGCTTTTTCGCCCGAAGAAGAAAGGATCATCGTTGAAATGCATGCTATCATGGGAAATAAATGGGCTCGTATGGCTACTCGGGTAATTTATTATCTTTGTGATTTCTTTTTTACGTTGAGATTTTGATTTTTCTTTTTGTTTTGTCCGCCATTGATGATAGCTTCCAGGGAGATCAGACAATGAAATCAAGAACTTTTGGAACACAAGAGTGAAAAGAAGGCAACGCCAAGGTCTTCCACTTTACCCTCCTGAAATCCAAGCTTTATATTCTTCCCAACACCGTTCACGGTCGCCGGTTACACCATCAACCATCGCATCAACGACCCCTCCTTTCTCGTTACAAAATCCGATGATGAAGCCTCTTCAGAGCTCAATGCTACAATCATCGGCTTCTCACCCTAACCTTATGGCCGCCAGGTCATCGCAACATCATTTGTACGATCCAAATTCATCCGCAACTCCGCCGCCGTCTCTTCAAAGCCCTTCGAGGCCTCCGCTGCTTCTCAGCCCTTCCCATTTCTCTCCACTTCAGTCTCCTCATAGCCCTCCATTTTCAACTGATTTCCCATCGAACACTTCCAATAGTGCTCCATCTTCTCTCGACTTCCACTTCCCTAGAACTCCACCTTCCTTGCAACATCCCCTTCGTCACAAGCGATTCAAACCCGACGTAAGCCATGAAAACAACAACAATGGCGGTTCAAATTTTATGTTACCCTTTTCATTTTTGATGAAAACCGATCCTTTCAATCACAATTCATTGAACCCTCAACAGTACTCGAACACATTTACGTTGGACCAAACAATACTCGATCTCGCTTCGTCATGGACGATCCTTGAACCCTATTTCGATCCAGGACAGTTTATGTCGACTCCCGGATTCGATTTTTCATTGAAAAACGAGCTCCCTTCAAACCAATTTTTCTCCCAAGATGATAATAAACTAAAAGTTACACTTGATCCTAAAGGGAATAATGACAATTATAGCAGTAATGATGGCGAACACCATAGCTCGAGCTTGAATATCAGTGAGAATGACTTCTTGGAAGACATGTTGAAGGAGGCTCAGGCGCCGTTGCCGGACAACAACGAAATTATTGGCAGTCAGAGTTGTTTAGCTTCAGGTCTGTCTTTTTCGTTCAAAATTAAACTCATTGCATGCATATCATATCTAATTTTACCGAGTTTCTTTACTTGATTGCTGTTCTTTGAAACAATAATTTAGGGTTCTTGAAGGCAAAGGAACAGATTATGAACATACCGAAACATGAAGATTACTCCAACATGAATCCATCGTCCATGGCGATGGCAGTTCCCGACTGGTACATCGACAAATATGAAGGCTCCAATTGGCAATCGCGGGTCGAAACAGATGGTAATTTAGGGTTTGAACTCGAACTTTATGATCAAAAGTCTTCATTATTGCCCGTCGACACTGCACCGGACGATCATGGTCGATCTCAGAGTTCCTATTATTGGAATCATGACTTTCCTGGAATTTGTTGAACTGTTTTTATTTTTATCCTTTATTTATATAAAAACCAGTATCGTTGGGTTTTTGCTTGTTGATATTGGTTTGCAGGACTAGAGCAACATAAACTTAATTCATCAATTTATTCAAAATTATAAAATTAGATTTAAGAATGTCCAAGATATTAAGAAATAAGGTACATTTTAGGCTTAAAGGTCACTTTTTTCTTTAGATTCAATTTATCATTTTTGTCATAATCATATTTTTGTATCGATTTAGCCATTAAAGTTGTTTAATTGCATCATTCTATATCTTACCTCTAATTTAAAACCCTAAATTATAAATCCTAAGGTAAGGTTTAGGATTAGACTTTATGGTTTAGAAGTCATGGAGTTATGGTTTAAGATAGAGGTAAAATATATAATGATGCAATTGAATAACTTCGAGGGCTAAATTAGTAAGAAAATATGATAAAAGCGAAAATGATAAATTAAATCTATTACATGATAAAATTTACCCTTTTGTCTAGCTTTTTAATACATGCCCATGTGTAGAGGAAAAAATTAGGAATAATCGACGATAGAAAATGTTAGGGATTTAGGAACGGTAGAATTTAACCAAAGTTATCGACATTTGTGTTTCAAATTTTTAAAAAATAGAGTTGGAATGAAATGAAAAATAAAGAGATTAAAATAAAATTTTACAAAAAAATATTATATAATAAAATAAAACGATGAATTTAAGGGGAGTTTAAAACTTTAATTCACATAAACTTGATTTATGAAAATTTATTTTAATCCTTCCACTTTCGTTTATTCACAATTTGGTTCCAAAATGTAAAAAAAAAAAAAAAAAACGAATTCATCATTAACCATCGATGATTTGCCAAAATAGTTCTGATTTGCCGACAATTTTACTCCAATCTTTTTGTTTTTTACAGTTTTAAGACTAAATTAATTCATTCATTCAATTTCAACCGCAACTCCTATCAGACTGTCGTTTCATGAATTTGGAATGAAAAGGGACACGAAGAGCAATGAAAGGAACCTTATTCGCTGAATGGAGTTGCAGTGCTATATTTTGCTTACAGTAAAGCCTAGAAATGACAACTGCAGAAAGGGACATCATCAATTGCTGTAATGGTCCCAGTTTTGGCACTTTGCAAAGCGACACTTGTTTGAATTGACTCAGAACATGGTTCTGTTTCTGCCTCCATTGCATTAACCCTCATCTCTGCAAATTTGATCCACAACTTGTAGTGATCTAGGACGGACGCAGAATTTTGTGAAATTTTATAATGTTTTAGTTAGAGACGAAGTTATAAAGTTTTAAAAGATCAAACACAGACCATAAAACGTATATCTAGAGTTTGTAATCTTGAACATATAAATGGAGTTATAATTACTGTTGATGAACATTATTCGAGGAAACCTGTTTTTGTTAAAACAGCAGTTCTTACTTTCCTCAAATCCCTCCCTTTGAGTTTCCTTCCAACACCTTCAAACACTGAGAAAGATGAAATCCGACTCCTTGCAAGCCGCTTTGCAATAATTTCATGTGGAGGAAACTTGGTATGATCTTCATCATAATGCCATGAATCATTCTCCATCTTTGTAGAAACCTTTGACCAATCAGGGATATTTACAGGGGATGATTGCTGCTGCTTACCATCATGAGCAGTGGTTGAACTAGAACAGCAGCTGCCGACATCACTAATTGCAGACAAAGATCTGGGGATCATTCCTGCAGCACTTGGGAGATGTCTTGTAACTGCAACACTGGATGGTTCAATGGATTGGCCAACTTTGAATGATGAATTTTTACTTTCCTTGAAAACTTCCCATACATCTTCTTCCTCGAAATCCTCATCTCTCAATGATCTCCATAATGCACTGCTGCTTCTCCTGGAATATCTGTACTTATCTTCCATTGCCAGATTTCTACAAAAACATCATCTACTTCACTTCAACACCCAGAATTTCCACAAATCCCACAAAATTCAACGCTTACAGATTAAAGGGTACTTAGAAAAGGAACCGTTGGTGTAAAAAAGCAAAAGATTCATCTACCTTTTCCTGGATTGAGAACCTTCAAAATTGGCAAAACTTCCCCAAGATTCTAAAGATGTTATACCTGCATCATGACAAAGAAAATTCAATTCAAAGCAAAAACCACTTCGAACAAATCATTTCTTAATTCTTTTCAACAAATCCATAAAAAAAGGAGCAGATTTCTTCATCAGATTCAAGGTAGCTTACCTATAGAAAAATTGATATGAAGAATTTGAGAGATTGCAGGGTTTTGCAAATGGACTGAAATAGGCTAAAAAGAAAGCTAAGAGGCAGAAAAAATTATGAACTAATGAAAAAGACAGACGTCATACTTCCCCTGTGCCTACTTTCTCAATACTCAGTTTGACAGGTGAATTTAAAGAAAATAGAAGGAAACAGAGTTTTTCATCTGTTTGGTGCGTTTTGCTGACTTTCCTTATACTCTTACATGGCCAGATTCTCCCAGGGCGAATCATATATATGAAAAATGTTTTTTTTTTCATTTACTTCCTAGTTGGCCATTTGAATTTGATTATGCCATGTTATTTATTTTATTATTTGGTTAGGTATGAATCAATAATAACGAATATATAAAATTTATTAAATGATCTTAATAATTTAAAAATATCATTTTCAGAGTTGATTTAGATTTAAATCATTACGTCTATAGAGAATTTAAATGTATTTACCCATATAAAAATCTGATATAAGGATTTTGGAGGTTATGTGTACTTTTAGACATTATAACAAAAGATTATATTTTCTTTTACTGTTTTTAAATAACTTATGATCTATGAGTACTTTTTCTTTGAATTTGGTACATTAATGGGGTTTTAAATTTTTTATGGGTTTGAGTTTATAAACATATGTTTAAGATTGATTTAATGTAAAAAAATAAGTGTTTAAAGTGTACCTAAAGTTAATTTTAGGTGTTTAAAGAATTTTTAGTCAAAAATAGATATTTAACGTTTCTGACGTTATACTTTTAGGTGTCTACCATTAAATTCGATCGTTAAGTGACACATGTCAAAAATAGAATTTTTAGCCAATGTTGCCTTGGTCATCGCCCTCTGCCATCGATCACTTCATCTAATTGGATTTCAATGAACGATGAGAAGAATCATTCCTTGAATCGTTAGAATCATCGCCCTTAGCCAAAATCAATAAGTTACTGCAATCACCCATTTTTGTATACAATCGTCGCTAGAAGCATGAAGGCTTGGTCATGAGTGTTTAGGCAGTCACACGCCGTTGAAACTTTGAATGATTGGCGGCAGTCGTGACAACTAGTGGTGGTGAGGGAATTGAAATTAGGATTTTTTTTGAGATTTTGAGTTTTTTTTATAATTTCAAAAAAATTTATTGTTTAAATAATAAATTTATGTTTTTTTCTAAATAAAAAATTTTAAAACTCAGTATGGCTGACACGTGTCAGATAATGGTCAAATTTAATAGCAACTACGGTCCATGCATCTAAAAGTGTAACATAAGAAATGTTATACACCTATTTTTAACAAAAAAATCTTTAGACACCTAAAGTTAACTTTAAGCACTTCTATTTAGATTAAGCCTTTAATATTTAATATTTAAGTGTAATTTAATTAATAAATTTTTAACTGAATTAACCGATAAACAAGTTTTAGAAATTTATTTAGTCACTCTTCGATTGAATAATTTGACGACTGACCGTTTAACTAAACTAAATCAATTGGGCCAGTTAATTCAACTTTCAACGAACAATGAATATCCCTAACCGTATGTCCCTTAGATAAAGACATGTTTGAATCATGACATTGTGAATGAAACACATTGGATTAAGAATATAATCTCATAATGAACCTTTGTAATATTTGATCCGAAATAAGGAACCAATAATTCAAATATCGATAAAATATAATTATTTAAATAAATATTTTAATTTTAATTTTGAATGATGCATTTTGACAATTTGGTCCACATGCCTACTTGCAAATTGGTTTAGATTTGTACTCAATTTGGTATTTGTATATGTAATCAAGCTCTTAATTATTTTCTATATAATATAATGTTTAAATTACATAAACTCTCAAAATCCTTAATTAAAACATAATATTTATATTTAAAATTATTTCATTTTATTCTTTTTAAATGCTACAATAAAAACAAGGGTCTACGTGTTTAGTATTTAAACTATCAGTTTTAGTATCTAAACTATCAATTTTAGTATCTAAACTTTTAAATTTTTTAAAACATAACTAAAGTTTTATTTTTTTTCATTTTAGTACATATATTCAAAATTTAACGTTAAGTTTTGAAAAAAAAAATAAAAGTTTAGATACTAAAACGGATAAAAACTGATAGTTTAGGTACTAAATGTGTAATTTACCCTAAAAATTATATTGATAAACTAAATCTCAGTCATCAACCATTAGTTTAACTTGAAATGATTTGATCATATACTAAAAATATATGTAAAAAGAGATTAGTTATAGAACTTGAGAAATGATTAGAAGAGGGACATTTTACAAAATTTGTCGAAATGAAAAGGAATTTTGATTGGCAAATATGTGCCAATCCAAGACAAGGTGAGGCATAATGTCAAAGCAAACCCCAAATGGGCTAATGAAACAAGACAAATTGAATTTATGTAAGAAATCTGAAATAACCAATGACCAATCTCTTCCTCATTCTCTTTAACAATATTCGTTGGATTTTGCCACGTTTATGTCCGAAATTTATTTGATAAGATTCCAGATTCATGTTCAGTGCCAGATTCATTGTTCCCAAAAAAACAAAGGCGGTCACGGCGGCCGTAAAAGCTTTAGATTCGTGGGTCACCTTTGCTGTATTACTGTATACCGACACCAACTTAGAGTAGGACACAATAAAAGTTGATATTCAATTGAATTGAGTCGAGTAAAATAACGAGATTTGTTCAAGCGGTAAGTAGTTTAATATCTCTTAAATATATGTCGAGTTTGAGTCATTATGTACGTAAAAAATTCTCGTTGAAAGACTTATCCATAAAAATTAAGTATATGATGTAGGTCGGTTTGGATTAGTCAAGACAAAGCATTTTTCGTAGCTTGAATCATATTTCTAGTGTTCTTCACTCTTCAGTAAAAAGTTATAGTAAGTGTTAAAAAGTAAAAAAAACGTTCAGATGCTCAACCATACGGGCAATTAGTATGAGCTTGTGACCACCCACGGTTGCATCAACAGTGATGTGGTGCGTGGCTCCAGAATCAACCACCCACGGTGTTTGGCTACTAGTTGCAGCAACAGGGAGTGTATTGTCTAAAGAACGAGAGTGACTATGATAAGTACAAGCACGCCCATGGCACGAGGGAGGAGCAGTGTAAGAGCAAACATTGGTTGTTTGAGCATTGGTCACTGACTGTGAACGAGCACTAATTGTAGATACACATACACTAGGATATTTTTTGTCAAAATGATACCAACACTTGTCCACAAAGTGGTCATTCTTCCCACATAATTGGCATTGAACTTTGCTACGACCTCTCCCTCGACCCCTACGAAACTGTTGTGAACGATGAGTTTCTACAGGGGACTCCGTAAAGCTAGAGTTCACTACTGCAACATGCTTGGCTTGAGCAACACTAGAACTGATGTGAAGTCCATCAAAACGATCAAAGGATTTCTGCTGAGTGTCAGCGTCAAGAAGAACTGCTACAACACCGTCAAGCGTGAATGGTTCATGGCTAGCAGTAATGACCGCCATAAACGGTCGATACTCCACCGGTAACCCATTTAGTAATGTGGCAATCTATTCGCAATCGGAAATAGGGCTGCCACATGCGGCCCACGCATCACAAATCTCCTTAACTTGGGAGATGTAGGAACGTATGCTGAGATCACCCTTCTTTACGGATTTCAACCGATTGCCATACCTCAGATGTCGTTTCTACCCCTACAAGCTGAGGAATCAATGATGGAGTTATCGTGGATAGCAACCAAGACGCAAGGACGCTATCCTAGGCAACAAAAACCTCATAAGCATCATTGTTTGTCCATCACTTCACCGGAATAAAGCGTGATCGTCGAAGGTGGTGGTTGGACGGACCCGTATAGAACCTTCTCTAACCGGTGACTGCGAACAACCAAGAGAACTTGTTGTTTCTGTTGTGGAAGAAGGCTATCGGATAGAGCAAAATCGCAACTGATAATTTGAGAAAATAAAAAATAAAGATAAAGAAGACACAAAATTTGCGTGGAAAACCCCTAAATAATATAGGGTAAAAACCACATGCAACGATAGAAGAATTTCACTATGGAAAAATATGAATTACAGCTTCTCTTGATCTACCAAGGAGAAAACAATGATAATTCTCTCTTGAAAAAAAGGAGAAAACAACTCTCAAGAAAACTCTCTAAATTCTCTAATATTGGGAGAAAGGTATAATGATTTGAGATGATTTTGAAGCTAAATGAGCTAAGGTATTTATAGTTGAAGCTTAAGAACTAATCTTATAAATACCCTAAAGTACAATGACTAAAAATGAGATTTTACCATTACTCATTTCAACAATTTCAGCTCCACCTAATTATCGTGTATGACCATGCAACATTCTTTTCTAAACTTTCAGTGTATCCATTTAATTCCACAATTTCGGTGGAATAAAGTTTGAAGCTTGATTTTTCAACAATCTCCCACTTGAAGATTTGATTGGAACAATCATATATTCACACCATTCTTTCTACCTTGTACCTTCATGTTGCTTACGTCTCTGACGGACCACAAGAGGATCGACACCAGGTAAATTTATCAGCACTGATTGCTTTCGTCATGAAATCTGCTATGTTGTCTTTGGTATGGATCTTCTGCATATCTACCGTCTCTTCTTCCACCTTTTCACAAATGAAATGGTACTGAACTCGTATGTGCTTTGTCCTTGAATGAAATGTTGGATTCCTTGCTAAATGCAAGGCGCTTTGACTGTCACAAAACAGAGATACATACTCTTGATTGTGCCCAAGCTCCTCCAATATCATCTTCAACCAAATTGCTTCTTTACTGGCTTGTGTAGCTGCTACATATTCTGCTTTGTTGTGGACGTAGCCACAACTGACTGCAATTTTGAAACCCAGCTTACAGCTCCACCAGCAACTTTGAACACATATCATGTAGTAGATTTGCTTTTATCCAAATCCCCTGCATAGTCAGAATCTACATACCCATTGATTAGTAAGTTTGACCCTCCGTAATATAATACAACATTTGAGGTCCATTTGATGTATCCCAGGATCCTCTTTACTGTATTCCAATGCTCTTTGCCTGGATTCGCCATGTACCGACTAACCACTCCCACTGCTTGTGCATATCATAACGAACATTAAACTTCCCACTGTCGATGCATACAGTACTCGAGACATCTCCATCCTCTCTTCTTCACGGATAGGACTCATACTGGAGGATAATTTGAAGTTAATAGGAAG